ATACCCTTTAAATGTTTTATATTATCATGAGTTTTTGAGCTAAACAAATAGTAATATTATAGATTGTGTCTATTAAATAATACAAGAAAACTATTATATTTAACCTTTGAGTGCTCAAGATAGATTGAGGTTTAAACCCTACTTATACAAGAATGGATGGGCTAAATTCAGTCTACTATAGTACTATAATTAACATATTACCTAAGTAAGGTTTTATATATATATATATAGAGAGAAAATGAATGTGCACTATAGATGTTGATCCCACCTCAATTGTACCAGTTCAAGATTCTAGTGGCTGTGTTAGTTATGGGAGTTATGAACATGGGTGTGGACAAGGTTATAAGGGTGGTTGTAGCCCACAATGTTACAACTGTGACATATTGCAGTGGAATATGGGAATCTGTTGTAACAATAGTGATGCTTAAATACTTCCTGTTAATCAATTAAAAAACTAATGGATGTGTTCAAAGTTTCATCTTGTCCTCCTTTGACATGCACAAATAATAGGAGGTGTCCTATCATTTCTCAACTGGAATATATGGAGCTTTTACTAGGCAATTATAAATTACAACAAGAATCTAAAGTTCCCATAGAACTATCAATGTAATTATTAATAACCATGATAGAAACAAAACTTAAAGCCATGGCATAAACATTAATCTACTATAAAATCCTAATAAATTAGATGTAATTTCATTGTAATTGCCAAATGCTCAAACTAATTTTGAAGCTATAATTTTGAACTAAAGCAAAAGATTTCAAAAACCACTACAATCCACAAAATATGATTTTAGCAAACAATATATCTTTATCTCTAACTTTGCCCATCATTAATACAAATTTATAGCCATCAGTTAATGTCAAATTTCTTTTAGGCTTTTGGCTGATATGGGTTAGGGCTGGTGATGGAGATATCCTTTTTTGAAGCTTCCTGGGCAGAGTCTCTTGAGAGCGAGATCTGTTTGCAAGGCTTGGAAAGAAGTAATTGATTCTCCATGGTCATGCCACTTGGTTCTGGGTACAAGGTATTGTCTCCTATCAACCACTTGATGGCATACTCCCCACCAAAGATCAATTGCCCATTGTTTCCGCCATCGCGCCCTGCCATCCATGCCATTGCAATGCCAATGGAGCTGAGTGGAGGTGAGCGCTCAAGAAAAGAAGAGAGCCTAGCAATGTGAGCGAGAGATATATATAGTATAGAGATGGTCTCATTGTGGAGTACGTTTTCTTTTCCTTGCCGATGTGGCAGATGTCTGCCAGGTGGGAAGCTGCGATTTGCTACTTGGGGCGAGGAGGGTATATATAGTATACATTGTGCCACATGGCAGGAGTACCGTTGGTCGTGTAGAGCACATTTAGGTTAAAAGGAGATTGCCAATGTGGCAGATACTTTTAGGTTAACAGGAGCTTGCTGATTGTGGAGGTGGGACTGTTAACTTGATTCAACCGTTGGCAGCTGTCGGATCGAGTCAGGTTCTCTGCAAGAACATGGTTGACAATTGCCAGGTTCTCCAGAACCGCCAGGTTCTAGAGAACCTCCTCATCCTCCAATAACATTATTCCATATGTCTGTTAACAGTCTCGCCACAGCCCGTTAAGGCTGTTCTTGGGCACGGGCTCGCTCGTTCCTGCTCGGTAGGAACGTGCTCACCCTACCCAGGAACTGCCTCATTCTTTCTTTCAGACGTTTACTTCTTCATGCTTTTCAACGCCGCCCAGCAACTTTTGGTTCGATCTGACAGTTGAAATCCGCAGATATGATCCGACAAAACGTGTTGCTGTCTGATCATACTGGCGTGCTCAGCCAGTATGATCAGAGCTGGAAACTATCACAACTTAAAAGCAGTGTTACGCCACAGACTTTCACCTGAAGAAGACGGTTTCTTCCTCGCAGCGTACTAACCACGCTCCACTGCTTCCCTTGCTTCCTGAAAACGAGTACAGTGGGACTTAGGAAAATAAGGAGAGAGAGGAGCTCCGGCAACAAGTTCCATTACATGCCTTGTGACTGCTAGGCTCTCATAAACAACAGTTGAGCTACCGTGAGACACACATACCTGTGGTTGCTTTCATTATAGTAGCTCGATGCACATCTTTACCAGAGTATCCTGTCCAAAAAAGAAGGACAAGGAGATGAACAAAGTCGCTCAGCTCAGACTCTGCGGTCATCGTTCCCCGTAGCGTTTTCATGCTATCCTGCCTGCAAAGCCGCCCCCATCCTTGAGAATCCCGGACAGCAGCTTCCTGCCAAGCGAAAGAAAATGTTTGACGAATACCTGACGCTCTGCCAGCAGCTGGTCCTGCAAATCCTCCTCCACACGGAGCCGCGCCAGCGTGCGTGCGCAAGTCGTGAAGAAGTTACTGCACAGACCACAAACTGTCCTGCGCGACTCGCTCGGACCGCTCGACTCCTGTATCCAGGTCAAGCCGTGCTCGTTAGTAAGCTCGCTACTCGCTTGAGATGTGTATCGCTAACACCGCCCCGTGGACATCGTTGAGGGAATTGAGCTGGGGCAAAACTTCTGGCAGCAGATGACACGAGCAGGACATCGTAAGAGAAGCAAGCCGATCATCACTTGAATGCTCTTACCATGTAGGCTGTGAGGTGACGTTCGTGCCAGAGGAGACTACATGATCAAACCATCAGAGCAAGTTCCCCCCAAACTTCTCCAAATCAAGTCACCTGAATCCGGTAACATTCTACATTTGCCAACACCTGGAATCTTCATGATGAAAACGCGATAGCCACCGATTTACCGTGACAGCGAGCCTGGAGCCGAGAAGCATGAATCCCTGGAGGGACAAGTAGAGGCGGTGCTGCAGCTCCCGGACCTATCGCTTGCTGCTGCTGCTGCTGCTGCTGCTCTCGCCGCCAGCACGATTAGGCATCTGGAGACGAAGATCTCCAGAGACCAGGGAAGAAGTGGCATATTGTTTTGCAGCCGCCCAAATGCGAACACCAAGCAAGAATGTATGCTCGCAAACCTCCTTCTACACGTCTCAGCTATGGGGCTCTCACGAGCTTGTCATGTGATTACGAAAAGCTTTTGGCGTTGACTTACAAGCAGAAAACACAATCGTTCCCGTCATGCTATAAATGAATAATCACCTATTTTATAGAGGATCATATTATTTGCACAAGATAGTACTGCCCTCCAAGTTATCAATTTCAGAACTGAACAAACAAAGCGATAAGAAGCAACATTCCAGACTGGCAACAACATCAATGATACTTCAGGGAGAATCAACTCACTCTGTCTCGTTTTTACCTGTTGAGGTTGCATTTCCTGCAAGATCATCATAGGGTTATCACTTTGTTCATTGTGCCCAATGTCTTAGTGGCTCCTTTCATTGCACCAGCAACAGAAAGGAAGGGAGCCAAAGAAAAATCTCTGTCGCACTTGAGCTCGACTGCCCTGGAACTTTTGAATGTGCTGCCACAATCTGATCAAATGCTGTCCGAAGTTCGTCGTTGCGCTGAAACTCGATTCCTGAAAAACAAAAAACAATTTTTCTGAGCACTGCCTTCTTTGGTGGACATGAGATCGCTTCCACGTGTCGTTCGTGTGGACTTTCGTTTGGGCTTTTGGCTGGCTGACGTAATATGGGTTAGGGCTGGTGATGGAGCACGTAGATATCCTTTTGAAGCTTCCTGGGCCGAGTCTCTTGAGAGCCAGAGCTGTTTGCAAGGCTTGGAAAGAAGTAATTGATTCTCCATGGTTTTCAAACCGCTACAGGGATCCATCGCCCTACATATTATTGCCATCGTCAAACCAAGAGGGCTTTCCCTTGTGTAACATATGCCACTTGGTTCTGGGTAAGTGGTTCAAGTTGGAATTTCCATCTACGTATATCCAGTCGGTCTCTCAGTCCGGGCTGGTGCTGGTCCGGGAAGGCAGAGTTTTTTGGGTGGGGAACCCATTCTTCAATAAGTGGAAACGGTATAGCTTAGAATTGCCATATGCGAAATTTGATCATGAGCTTGCAACTCTAGCGGATGATGAGCAGGGCTATCGAGTAGTATTTCGGGTGCGTAGGTTTATGCAAACAGCAGTCCTCTACTCTTGGAAGTCAGAGTGGCTCGTCACGGAGCAATGTAAGGAGATATCAAAATGGAGGATTTTGCGGATTTTGTCACATCCTCTTCCACTGTTTGTGGCAACATCATCCATTCCATTGGGTCCAAAAACAAAGTGGCACTACTAAGTTGTCGTGTAGACAATGGCAAGGTTCTTTCGCTCCGCTACTTGAAGCTGGGATCTGAAGTACTTGAAGGGCGTTTTAAGCTCTTTGGTTGGGATGGCAAGCTCTACTTGCTGGGAGAAAATGACAGTCACTTATTTGGACTCTTTGAAATAAGCGGAGAGAATGTAGTTCTGATAAGCTGGGCGCCAGAAAGCATTTCTACAAAATTTCCCTTCGTAAGGTCGGCAAGCATCTACAACAATACTATCTACTGCATTTTTCAAGTGAAGCTAGCAATGCTAGTAACTTACAACCTCAGTAAACATGGTTCGTGGCAGGTGGTACCACTTCCAGAACCATTGCCTCCATGCATTGGAATCTTAAATATTGTGAAGTTTAGTTTAGACTTACCATTTGGGTTAGACTTGTGTAGTTCCTATTGATTTTCTTTTTCACTTAGTTGACTCTGCTCTTGATCTTCCACAGCTCCTGTCTTGTGAGATATATTTTAAGGTGACGTTTCTAAATAATTTTTCTGTGACACCGGAAACTCACTTCCACCATGACAGCCTGCTGATCCAAGAATGTTTTTTTAACTGCCATTAAAAGGTGCTTGAAAGCTAGAACCAGTTAACCTCTTATTATAGACAATGCATACTAAGAAGTGGCCTGTCCAACAGCTTTTAAATGAACTAAAAGAAGAAATGGAAAAAACTACAAATGCAAAAGTTAGATATAACCCAAAAGCATAAATACATTCACCATATTTAGTTAGACCCAAAACCCTAGCTTAAACACAGTGGTCCAAATTGATCAATCTACATTAATATTAATATATGGCATTATAGCCATACATACACACAGGATCAATCACAGGACACACAAAGCATTGCAGAAGGCCAAAAGTTATCTGGGAGCCGAAATGCAGCACCAGCGCCACACTGTAGACAGAGCTTTTACTTTTAGAAAATCTCCATATACAGAATACTCTACTCTCGCAGGTTTTGAGGGGTGAGGCTTTGCAGGAACTCTAGGAACTCTAGGACGTCCTGAGGCGAGTCAAGGCAGCAGAGTTCTCCGTCATCGTTTCTCCGAAACCAGATGCGTCTGATCACGTCCACTACATCTTGTATGACAACTGCAACAAAAAGAGAAAACCAAGCATAATTTATAGCATGCGCTGGGAGATTGATAATCACTCACGTCGCGTGCCTGCATCTGTAGCCTCTGTGTCTGCCAAAGAGAACGAATGTGAGGAGGGCTACAGAGACTTAACCATAAACGCTACCTTGGGACGCACCAGAGTCTTCCCCGTTGTTTATATCTGCACCTAAGATATAAGCATGCCACATACTGAACGAAAAAAACCGAAACAAACCATTGCTCGATGTAGTCTCGGCAGGATCGATAGTTCCTTGGCGTGCTTGTTCGGACAAAGATGACTCTTCCACCCTGTTTATATCTGCAACTAGAACCTAAGTATGTCACGAACTCAACAAAACAAATCGAGACAAACCATTGTTCGCAGTAGTCTCGGGTGGATCGATAGTTCTGGACGCACCAGAGTCTTCCACTAAGTTTACATCTGCAAGTAAGAGATAAGGATGTCACATAATCAACAAGACAAACCATTGTTCGCAGTAGTCTCGGGTGGATCGATAGTTCTGGACGCACCAGAGTCTTCCACTGTGTTTACATCTGCAAGTAAGACATAAGCATGTCACATAATCAACGAGACAAACCGAAACCGAGACAAACCATTGCTCGCAGTAGTCTCGGCTGGATTGATAGTTCTGGACGCACCAGAGTCTTCCACTGCAAGTAAGACATAAGCATGTCACAAACTCAACGAGACAAACCGAAACCGAGACAAACCATTGCTCGCAGTAGTCTCGGGTGGATCGATAGTTCTGGACGCACCAGAGTCTTCCACTGTGTTTACATCTGCAAGTAAGACATAAGCATGTCACATACTCAACGAGACAAACCGAAACTAACCATTGCATGGCTTAGACTCGACAGGAACGATAGTTTCTACAAACAAACAACAAGATGATTCAGAGAAGACGCGATGAACAAAAGCAAAGAGAAAAGAATACAGAAGAGAAATGGTATACCTCCATCGATGGTAGCTCTTGCAACCTCGCTAGAAGCTGGTGAATCCACGGACTCTGGACAAAAACAACACAACGCGTCAGGGATTCAAATAATCTATTCATGAAACCACAAACATCACATACCGGCTCCTTGATTTCCTTCCACCGTAAAAAGCATAAGCGAGAAATCGATCATCATACCTCCATCGGAGCTGGAGCTAGGTCCAGAAGACGACGCATGCGCATCACTTGATCCAGAAGAGGCTAGAGGAGAATCTACACGATGCAAAGGCGTCAGATCGAGACGAGGAATCAGAAAACTCGCAAACATCACAGACCGGCAGCTCGATTTGCTTCCGCCAGATTCACACGAGAAGACGCATGATCTACACCTCCTGGACGAAAGATTACGAGATATTTCTTGCCATCGCGCGACTTACCAGCGCCATCGCTCTCGTCGGAAGTGTCTGCGGCAAGACATTTCCAAGATATGTGAGATACAAGCACAGATCGATGAGAATTTCACTGACCGGTGCGCGTCTGGCACAAATCGACCGAAGTGTTGCAGCTCCCGGCGCAATCGTTAGCGCTCCCTGCAAGAACACGAGAGATCTTCGAAAATCCAGACAAGGCGAGGCACTACCAATGCAGCGCCAAGCGAAGGAGAAGAGCAGCACAAGCGCAACCCAGGAAACCCTATAAGACGCCATTCTCTTTGCGACGTTCTTCAGCGGAAGGGTCCTTTATATAGCGCTGGGATGAGCGGGAAAATTCCGAAATCAAAATGATCCAGGAATATGCGTAATCGCCGACGTGGCATTTGGGATCTTCCACGAAACAGGAAGAATGAATAGCTTTTCTACTCTTACCTCAGATAAATTCTTCGTCTACGCTTTCTCGCCAATGCCGGAGCTCGATCCTTCGTGCCCATCGCTTGCCGTTAAACCCTAAAATAACAATAGGGGAGAGAGGAGATTAATTTTCGGGCTAGGTCATGGCGCCCGCCAAGCCAGGCGATGCGGCATTCGCGAATGTGGATCATGTGGTGAGCTGCTAAATCTCGTCCTGGATCTAGAAATTCGTGGAGCGCTCACTGTGTCTTTGTGGTTTTTTCTCGATTCTGTCCATCCTGGATCAAGAATGCAGAGCTTTTCACTCTCACCTATGGCGCCATGGTCCGGCAGCTCCTCACGGACTTCGAAGACGTGGAGGAAGTGAACAAGCAGCTCGACACCATGTAAGCGCCCGAGCATTTCTCTTTTTTCTTTTTTTTGTTTTCATCCCCTTCTTCGTTAGCTAGCATTGATAAGAATTTCTGTGTGTTTCTTTCTCTCTATCAGGGGATACAACATTGGAATTCGCTTGATCGACGACTTTCTCTCCAAAGCCAACGTCACAAGGTGCTCAGAGTTTCGAGAGACCGCAGATGTCATTGCCAAGGTTCCCGGTGTTCCTCTCGAAACTTTGATCGCTGGACTCTAAATTTTTTTCCTTCGATCTCTTTCGTGGGCAGATTGGATTTAAGATGTTCTTGGGAGTGACTGCCACCGTCTCCAACTGGAACGCCGATTTCACCGAGTGCAGCTTGGTTCTCGATGACAATCCCCTGGTGGATTTTGTGGAGCTCCCGGAGACTTGCCAGGGCCTCTACTACTGCAACGTCTTGTGTGGAGTGATCCGCGGAGCTCTAGAAATGGTAAACAAAAACTATGCTTTTCCTTTCCAGCCTCGCATTAAGTCTCTTCTTTCTTCGCTTGTTCTCCTCGCAGGTATCCATGAGAACCGAAGTAAAATGGGCGAGGGACATGCTTCGTGGGGACGATGCGTACGAATTGAGGCTAAAGCTCATCGAGCATGTCGCGGAAGAGTATCCGTACAAGGATGACGATTAAACATGCGTTCAATGTGTTTAATGGATCATGTGGTTTGATTTAAACAACTTGAATTAAGAAAAGCAAAGGAAAAACTATTTAATCAATCTTACACAAAATTTTGTTCCAACTCTTTCATGCAAATATAATCTTGACAATGATATGTAGTGTTTACCTTTAGCTAGGGCGAGTTATTAGGGTTCTTGGAAATGGAGGACGAGGAGCGTCAAAACATGGAGCGCTTCAGCACGGAGGGCGATTTCGTGGATGGCGAGTGGATCGACGGTGAGTTCTACTACCGGAGCCGCCGGAAGAGGCGGGGGCAGACCAAGGAGGAGGCGCTCTACGGCTACCAGTCGTCAGGGTCGGATTCGGATGGAGGAGGAGGAGGAAGAAGGGGCAGGAAGAAGCGGCGGGGCGGGATAATCGTCGAGGACAAGTCGAGCAAGCCCGTGAATTTCGTGTCGGCGAGCGTCCAGGACGTGGGCACTGAGAATCAGGCATCGTCGTCCTCTAGGAAAGAGATGGAGGAAGAAGAAGAAGAAGAAGAAGTGCCTGGCGCCGGGCTGGGATTTCGAGCTAGTAGCCGGGATAGAGGAAGCGATGAGGGCGATGAGCGAGGTGGTGTTGGGCTTGGCTTTCAAAGGGGAGGGATTGGTTTCCAGGCTGATGGCGATGAGCCTGGTGGTGCTGGAACTGGTTTCCAGAGGGGAGGAATTGGTTTCCAGGCTAGCAACGAAGAGGGCGATGATCAGGCTAGGAACGAAGATGGAGTTGGAGGACGAGGTGGACTTGGTTTCCAGAGAGGAGGAATTGGTTTCCAGGCTAGAAGTGAAGATGGTGATGGACGAGGTGGCGTGGGGCTTGGTTTTCAAAGGGGAGGAATTGGCTTCCAGGCTAGAAACGTAGATGCCGATGGACGAGCTGGTGTGGGACTGGGTTTCCAAGGTAATGGGGCTGCGAGTGCCGGGGACGATGACGATGGCGATCTGGAGCTGCCGAGTGCTCTGGGAAAGAAGATCCAAGAGAAAGTCCGGCAGAAGACAAAGAAGAAACCCGGAGGCCCAGCTTCTAGTAGCTCTGTTAAGTATGTCTGGCAGAAGCACACCAGCGAATTTACCAACAAGATGATGTCGAAGATGGGATTAACTGGTGGTACCGGCTTGGGAAAGAACTTGCAAGGCAGGGTGGCGGCGATTGAAGTGAAGTTGAGGCCCAAGAACATGGGGATGGGATACAATGACTTTCAGGAGGTGACGACGGGTCGTGATGATCCAGCAGCAGCGACAGAAAGCGAAGAAGTGGCCCATAGGTCGAGAGCAAACGAGCAGCTCTGGATGAAGAAGAACAAAAAGAAGGCAAAAACTTTCGTTTCAGCCGAGGAGCTCTTGTCACGGCAGCAGGGAAGAACAGTTGGCAAGGTTTTGGACATGACGGGGCCACAGGTGCGCGTTGTCACGGACATGAAGGACCTCAACGCCGAGAGAATGGTTGTCGAGGAGGACGACACTCCCATGCCAGAGCTCCAGCACAACTTGAAGCTCCTAGTGGATCTCGTTGCTTCGGACATCCAGCAGTACGACTCCAGGCTCAGGCACGACAAGCAAACCATCGCCATCCTTGAGAAGGACCGGGACCGGCTGCAGAAGGAGCTGGAGCTCCAGAGCAGGAGCCTCGAGGTGATGCACTCGATCACTTCCGCCATCGAAGGTGTCCAGCAAGAAGCTGCGTCGCGGAGGCTAACTCTAGACGGCCTGCTCAAAACCTTCGCCAAGCTCAAGGCCGAGTTCCCGGAGGAGTACAAGCTCTGGAACCTTTCAGCTCTGGCGCTGTCTCACGCAGCACCGAGGATCACCTCTCACTTCCAAGCATGGCAGCCGCTCCTCCAGCCGTCCCGAGGTGTCGACGTTCTCCTTCCGTGGATGGAACTCCTCCAGGAGCAGGAGGAGGAGGCGATCTTCACCGAGGTGGACACTGCTCCGTATAGTCGCCTGGTGATGGAAACGGTGCTGCCGCATATCAACCGTGCGGTGATCAACTGGGAAGCTCGAGAGCCGGAGCCGCTCCTCCGGGTGCTCGAGGTGTGGGAGAAGCTCCTCCCAGCGTCGGTGTTCCAGAGCGTGCTGGACAGCTGCGTGATGCCCAAGCTGCGAGCTCAGGTGGAGGCGTGGGATCCATTGCAGGACACGGTCCCGGTTCACCACTGGGTGCATCCCTGGCTGCCGCTCCTCGGCTCGAGGATGGACCCGGTGTGCGATACCATCCGGTGGAAGCTAAACAGCGTGCTGCAAGCCTGGGATCCCAGTGACGTCTCGGCGTACTTGATGCTCTCGCCGTGGCACTCGGTGTTTGATGCGGCGAGCTGGGAGCAGCTCCTGGCACGGAACATCGTCCCGAAGCTAAAGGTGGCGCTCGAGCAGCTGGAGATCAACCCGGCACAGCAGCGGCTGGAGCCTTTCTCGTGGGTGATGGCCTGGGCTCCGGTGATGCCGCTTCGTCTCATGATCCGGATGCTGGAGGAGAAGTTCTTCCCGAAGTGGCACCACGCGCTGTTCGCATGGCTGGGATCCAACCCGGACTTCGACGAGGTGACGCAGTGGTACCAGGGGTGGAAGTCGGTGCTGCCGGCGGAGCTGCTGGCCAACGATCGCGTAAGGTGGCAGCTCAACGGGGCGCTGGAGATGATGAACCAGGCGGTGGAGGGGGCGCCGCTGGTGATGCGCGACGCGGAGCAGTGGCAGCAGCAGTTTGTGGAGAAGAAGTTCGCGGCGGTGGCGGTGGCGGTGGCGGAGGCGGAGGCGGAGATGAGCTTGAAGGAGGTGGTGGAGAGCTTCGCGCAGGAGAAGGACGTCCAGTTCTTGCCAAAGCCGGGGCGGCTGCACCAGGGGCTCCAGGTTTATGGATTTGGATCGGTGAGTATCGCGGTGGACAATCACAAGCAGGCAGTCTTGGCTCAGGCTGGGCAGAAGTGGACGTCCGTGTCGCTGGAGCAGCTGCTCGAGATCCACCATGCTCGAAAGGGTGGCAAGTGGAACTCTTGAGCGATTGACAAGATCGAAAGGTTTCGAAGAAGAGGTCGCAAGTTTTCGATGAAGAAGAGCTCTTGAGCGATTGACAAGATCGAAAGGTTTCGAAGAAGAGTGGGCGAAAAGATTTCGTAGAAGAGCTCTTGGGCGATTGACAAGATGGAAAGATTTCGAAGACGAAGCGCTCTTGAGCGAGCGATTGACAAGATAAGAGCTCTTGGAAAGTTTTCGATCGAAAGATTTTTTTTTAACTAAACTTTGACCTTTAACTTTGCCCTTGGATTAAATTAGACTTAACTTAGGTCACCTAGGAGTGTTCTTCCTTTTCTCTCTGGCCCGGTGGCCATGGCTGCCTCGCTCTCGCGGAATTCGTCCGGCCGGGCAGCAGCAGGATTATTGCCCTATCCGGCCAAGTTCCACGTCGCGGCGGCCTACGCGGGCTTCTCAGCTGACGACGACGACTACGAGAATGTGGCTCTTCCGCTCGGATCGCTCTTCACGCCAGAGATGGCCCTGCTCTTGTATGGTCTCTATATGCAGGTATGGATCTTCGCCATGCTGGATCGGCTGCTAGATCGCTTGCCCTGGAAATATTTCGGTGTAATCCTCTGGAATTTTGGGATCCAGGCCACGGTCGGGCCGTGTACAGCTGCGAAGCCTCGGATGTGGAATACCCAGGAGCATTTCAAATGGAAGAGGTATAGCTTGAATTTGGAGAGAGTTGGGCTTTAACGTTTCCTTTAGTTGGAGCGAGTTTAAAGAGTTGCCATCAATTGAAGCTATGCGGCTCTTCGTTAGAACCTTGGAAGTAAGTGTTTCGATGTTTTTTCGGGAGTTTCCATCGATTTTCCTTTGCAGGAACAAGATCCAGACTGGTATTTCAAGTCGCAAGGGAGAGAAGTTGAGGCAATTGGCGAAATGGTAAGAATCTGTTTTTCGTTTTTGTGTTAGGAACTTTAACTCTGCTGCATTCTTTCAGCCTGTGCAAGACAATGATTTAGATCCAAGTCTTCAAGAGGAGGACATCCCCGCTGTAAACAATTCTCCTCCATCTCCCCCGCTGCCATCAGCAAATGGTGGGATTGGCACGGAGGTGAAAATGGAAGAAAACGATGTCGAGTGCTCCACTATTATGGAGATTGATGTTCGCAACGAATGGCTTTCACCTCTGGTATCTGGACGACGACCAGCAGCTCGCTATCAGGTTTGTCTTCATACGTGGGAAACTAGATCAAGAACGCTATAAACTTTTGTCTTTGCGCAGCATGCAGCAGCGGTTGTACACGATAAGATGTTCGTGATTGGAGGGAACCACAATGGCCGGTACTTGAACGATGTCCAGGTATGTAGATTTTCGCTCACTAATAACTGATGTTGCAATTTTCGTCATAGGTTCTCGATCTAAGAACGCTCACCTGGTCCAAAGTTGAACAAAAGCTCCCAACGTCTCCTTTGTCGTCGTCCATGCCTCCGATCCCTTCAAATCAGATTTTGTCACCCTGTGCCGGTCATAGCCTGGTAATTTTTCTAGCTTTATACTTTCATCTTACATTCTTCCTGAGTGTTTTTCAGATTCGGAAGAACAGGATGCTGTTTGTTGTGGGTGGCCACTCGAAAAACTCCCCCGACTCTGTCTCAGGTTAATGTAATGCAGAGGAACTTTGAGATCCATCTCACTTCAGTGCTCTCTATCTCCAGTTCATGCTTTTGATACGGAGACTTTCACTTGGTCGCTTTTCCCAACGTATGGACAAGCTCCGGTACGTGTGACATACGGTATCACGAACCCAAGATTGACCATTCGCTGTTTGTGGTGCTCAGATTGCGAGAAGGGGCCAGTCCGTTTCACTGATCGGATCCAACTTAGTCATGTTTGGTGGAGAAGACTCCAAAAGGCGTTTGCTCAATGACCTCAACATCTTTGATCTGGAAACAATGACATGGGAAGCTGTCGATGCTATGTAAGTCGTTTGGTCTTGCTTGTTTGTATCTTTTGTTATATCCTTCACTTTCAGAGGACCGCCTCCATCTCCTCGTGCCGACCACGCTGCAGCGGTCTATGCTGGTCACTACCTATACATATTCGGGGGTGGCTCACATTCCAGCTGCTTCAGTGACTTGCATGTTTTGAACTTGAAAACGGTAGGCTTGATGCATTGCTCCTTTGAACTTATGGATTCGTGACTTCAGATGGAATGGTCCCGCAAAGAGACTGAGTATACACCCACGCCTCGTGCAGGCCATGCTGGCGCAACAGTTGGTGATTTGTGGTACATTGTTGGTGGAGGGGACAATAAATCTGGTAAGTATATCGTCCATTTTATGTTTGTTTTGACTGTACCATGTCCTGTACCAGGGATTTCCGAAACGATTGTACTGAACATGAAAACGCTTGACTGGTCACTTGTAACTTCTGTGCCAGCACGGACGTATATCGCATGCGAGGTATGACATTTTGATTGTCCTTGCCGGCCTTTTGCCGATTCTATTCGTCATTTTCTGTCCTGCCTAGGGATTGAGTCTCGTCTCCGCGTGTTTGAATGGCGAAGAAACTTTAATAGCCTTTGGTGGCTACAACGGAAAATACAGCAATGAGGTTTGTTGTTTTTTTCTTTTTTTGAGACTGTGACTTGTATTGAGGTGGAAGCTTTCAGATGCATGTACTGAAGACGGGCATAAGCCAATCAAAGGCGTCTCCAGCTCCGAGTTTTGGTGGCAGCCATTTTACGGAGGTTGGAGAATCTGCGGACGTGCCCGAGAGCTCAATAATTTCGAAGGAACCAGTAGATCATCAGCCTACGCCTACGGTATCTTGTTTTTACGCGTCTCCTCCCTGTTTGGTAATGTTATTTACTGTTTCTCTTTTCTTTCAAGGAGAATGGCGGCTACAACACTCCAAAGTTGCTGGAGCTTAAACGGGAGCTTGAGGTGGCTCTAGCGTCATGCCAAGACGAAAACAACAAGCTAAAGAGCGAGCTGTCGATCACTGCGAACGATCTCTCCATGGTTTTTCCTCGTTTTGTGCACGAAACGCTAGTTCTACAATTTCTCTTTACTGTGCAGGAGTTGCAGTCAGTTCGGGGCCAGTTCGTGGCCGAGCAAACGAGATGCTTCAAATTGGAGGTAAAGTGAGCCTGCAAGAGAAACCTGTCCCGTAACCTTGCATTTTCTTTCTCCAGGTCGAAGTCGCAGAGCTGAGGCAAAAGCTCCAGTCCATGGAGGCGTTGCAAAAGGAGGTGGATTTGCTACGACGGCAAAAGGCTGCCTCGGACCAAGTCGCGGCCCAGCTCGTCCAGCAGAAGCAAAACGCCTCTGGAGGTATGTGGTCGTGGCTCGCAGGGACTCCCGGCGAGGGAGGCAAAGTTTTAGATTCCTGAAAGAAAGCTTAGCTGCACGAAGGAGAGAAAACTTAAAAACCGTGACGATGAGAAGTGGAAAAAGAAGCTCGGCTTCGAGATTTTGTGGTAATGCGAGGTAATGGTTTTTTCCAAGCTCTAGATCGTGTTAACTCGTTAGATTCCGGGCCGTTTTATAAAGATATTAATCGGTATTTTTTAGCGAAGCCATCGAACGCTGTGTAACATTGGCGGTACAGCAAATAAATTTTCATTCCTTTCGTGCTGAGAAATGTCAAAACTAAAATATTAGATCAAATATATGCTAAGTTGATTATTACTTTTTTTAGTCCTATTATTGTTTTTATTATTATAATATTGGACCTTAAAGGTCCAAAAAATTAATAATTGGTTCTTATACGGCATCAAAGCCGTACACCATCGTTGGCCTCCATATAAAAATTCCAAAGAGTGCAAGCTAGCGAGCCATTGAAAGGTGTGTATCATCCATCGCCCATGGAAAAGTGAAAAGAAACTCCTATCATTCCTTTGGATCTTTCGTGCTACAGCGAAGAACGCAAACTCTCTTGGCATGATCTTTGTCTCGTATCATTGGCTCTTCGGAGAATTTGCGATTAGTTTAAAGGTAAAAAGCTCTTTAGTGCCTTGCTTTTGGCAGTTGTGTGTTCGAATCTCACCCGATTTAAATATTTGGGCCACGTTTCGGTGATTTGGGCCACCGGCCGGTCGTCCGTACTGGCGATTATAAAGCTCCCATGGCTATGGCGATCGTGAGGTTTCTGTCGTAATAAAGGAGACGCCGCGGCTGCGCCTTTTCCCTCGCGGTGGTAATGCGTCGCCTTTTCGGCGCTGTCAGCGCCTTGCGCGTGTTCTTGAAATAGCAGCGGCGATCGATCGATCGGGCATCGGCGGCATTGGTGAAGCGCGGAAGAATCCCTGGCGCGCCTGCATTTCGCGTTCTCGCATTGCTCGATCCTCCGGTGAGAGATTCTTGCGCGCGCGATCGATATTATGGCCGCGGTGGAGAATGGCGGCGACGGCCGATTGCACAGCGCGGTGTTTGGCGGATGCGCGCCGTGTCGATTGCCGTGGAGGAGCCGCGTGCCAGCGGATCACTCCGGGAGCGTGCTCCAGCACTTGCGGCACCAGCAAGATTGCAGCACCAGCAGCGATTTCCCCAGCTCCAGATCGGTGTCGGCCGTCGCCAAGGTCTTCTCGGTCCAGAGGAGTCGATTGAAATTCGAGTCTGGCAAGAATCTCATCTTTCTATGTAAGTACTCATTTCCATTTCCTTGGCTTGCTGTGTAGTAGGGTTAAAATATGCTGTGTCCTTTCTTTCTTTACAGACGAGCCCGGTAAGCAAGTCGCGAGCGCCGTGAAAATAAAGAATGTGAGTCGATCGCCTGTCGCATTTAAGGTACCTGGGCATCACACTTTTGCTCCTCTCTCTCGGCCGCTCACTCAAACGTTTTTCCCTGTTTGGTTTTTTCTCGCAGTTCCAGACGACAGCGCCCAAAAGCTGTTTCATGTGCCCCCCAAATGGCGTTATCATGCCCAACGAGACAATCGTCGCTAAAGGTAATAAGCCTTGATAGATTATACCATTTGGGAAAATCCAAAGTCTCTGAGCTATCGTGCTACAGTTGTAAAATATGTCGAGGTTCCCGAGGGGCCGCAGCAACAGCCAAGGAAGCTCAAAGACAAATTCCGGATTGTTAGTCTCAAAGTGAAGGAGGGAGTGGAGTACACCCCAGAACTGGTACGTTTTGTATGCATGTTTTACTGGCTGGCTAACCATCTGGATGTGAGAAGTTCGACGAGCAAAAGGATCTTGTGGCGGTGGAGAGAGTCTTGAGAGTGGTTTTCTTGGATCCGCAAACAGCATCACCGGTCTGTATCGATTTTATCTTAAGATTGTTTTTATCTCCAGCGACTCACCGTTTGTCTTGTCCTCTTTGAAATCAAGGCGGAGCTGGAGAAACAACAGAAGCGCTTGGCCGAGGCTGACGCTGCACAAGAGGCCCGAAAAAAGCCTCAAAATGATCGATCTCATAAAGGAGGTGCTGTACAGGGATTTGTGATTGATGAATGGGTATGTAGCTTCCTTCGTCACATTATCGCTCACAAATTAGCTGTTCTTCTCTTCTCTTGTTTTTTTTTTTTTCGTTTTGTAGAAGGAGCGCCGCGAAAAGTATCTAGCTAAGCAGCAAGCCGAAGCTCAGGATTCCTACTAAAACTTAAAGGTCTGAACATCAACCTCTTCCTTTCGTCAAAGCCGAATCGGTTGCTCAAGTTTGTAGCAGTAGTGGGCTTGAGAGAGTTTTGAGTCGACTTTTCCTTTACTACTGGGAGCAGCTTTGAAGCTAAGCCCAGAAGCAATGCGTCAGATCCCGAGAGGCGAGGAAACTGTGTCCAGCTAGCCTCTCAACATCATCTCCGCTTGCAAGTCAATGGGTGGTGGTTACTAGTGTTGTTTTCTATGGCCTGCTTATCTGTTGAAAGAGAGAGAGGAGAGAGAGAGAGAGAGAGAGAGAGAGAGAGAGAAGGGGTCGTCTGGCTCCGCTAGTTGTCGCAGCAAACGAACGAACGTGGTCTCGAGATAAATCACAAAACAATGGGGGTGCGGATGTCCCTGTCGAAAGTGTCTCGTGTGTGGGTGTGAGATGAACGAGCTGAGTAATGCTCGATGCATGTTGTGTTTGTGGAGTTCTTTTTCTTAAGTTTCCATAGTTTCTCAGGGGCTAATAAGCGTTGTTTATGAAGTTTCATTTGTACGCGCTTGTGTGTTTGTGTTTTGATGTGTGTGCGTGTGGGTGTGGTGTTTGCAGGGATGATTTTCAATTTCACATGGAAGTTACGCACACTTGGTGGTTAGCCTGTTGACGTCTGTTCACGCAAACGGAGACGCGAGGTCTGTTGACTTAACGGAGATTCTGGCGTTGCTGCAAGAATTCAGGTACATGGCATACGATTGAAAATCTGGGAGTGCGTATTTATAAATATTTCTGGTGTTGCTTATGTGTTGCTTATTTGCTTTGCTGTGGCGGATTTACCCGTATGTATGGCCGATTGATTGATTGATATGTCCAGAGTGGTAGGAGTTCTGGCGTGGGATTATAATTATCTATGCATTTTCTTTTATATCCAACAAGCATGGATATATATTTTGTATGCCCCTCCTACTCCCTCTTTCTTCTTCTCTCTCTCTCTCTTTCTCTCTCTCCTGGCCGTGTGTGCATGCCGCTTAGCTATTAGTAATCCAGATCCTGCGCTGCTTCCGGTGATGACGATGATGGCTGTGGCTGTGCTTGCGTGGTTTACAAAGCAGTGAAGTACTCATAAGACTTTATATTGTAGATCTGCGTCCAGGCCAGGAAAAGCAAGTTATTTGGGTTCTCGGTTCCGTGTCTTCTACACCGGCGGCAGGAGGTGTACATGTAGTCCAGGAATGAGGATCAGGAAGCGTCCCTCCTCGGGACCGCAAAAGCAGCGTTTGATTCAGCAGCTGCCGGCGACTTACAAGTACGTTTTTTCAACGGGTTGGTTGTTGAAGAGAGCATATGAAGAGCATGACAAGCAGCAAAGTACGGGGGTGTTAGATTCAAGGTGTAGCAGGCTTCCTGAAGAACGGGGATTGTCGCTTCATGGTGGATTGTGGCAGTCCAAAGCAGGGTACAGGGAGGATGGAGTAGCAAACACGTCGTTACAATGTTGCAGGTGTGAACAGCAAGAAAAGAGCTCGGGTGTAGGCAGGGAATGCAAGCAGCCTCCGCAGCAGCAGCACCCAATTGGTGAGGAGGCAATTGGGGAGGAGCCGCGAACGCCACCTCCTTTCTGCGGCGAGAAGCCAGCCTTGGCACGGCAAAGGTCCGAGCATGAACTTCATCCGGGGCCGGTCGTGGACGAGAAGTTTTGCTCCTGTGGAAAAGACCAGCAGAAGCAGAAGCGGAAGCAGCAGACGAAGAAACCAATTCAGGACTTGGTCAAAGGGGAATCTTCGGGCTCAGGACGGAAGAGAACGAGAACCCGCGTGGTGGAGCAGCACCAGCAGCAGGAGGCGGCGAGTGAAGATGACCATGGCCTTCTGCGTGCTTCTTCGAGACTACGGGTAAGACGCGTCGTCCCGTCTACATGCCATTTTCCTGCTTTAGTGCTCGCTGCTTTTTCTGCGTTTGTGTTTGCATTGAATATTGTGTTGCATTCCTCGCATAGGTAGCCTTCCTTTCACAGGGTAGTTGTTTTTCTGGTTGCTGGTTGCTGCTGGTGTTAAGAGGCCACTGACCAATATTAGAAGACGGGTGCTCTGGCAGGCTAGATACTTTTAATGCTTGAAGCATAAGTTAAGCAAGCTGAAACACCGGATTGAATAGTCTTGCATCGCATGGGTGCCGTCAATTCCTGCTTTTGTTCCGCGTGTTCTCTTTTCAAGCTTGCCGCTGAATTCTCCATCGAGACTAGATGGCCATTGTCGTCTAGCAGAGAATGCCTGCTTGATTTGTATAGAAGAACTTCTGGCTGTTGCATGAGAGTGGGGCTGGATATTCTTTCCCAAAAGCTGACTGTGACATTGAATGATCTCCTTTGTGTGCTGCCATGTCTGTGTCTGGTGGCGCAGGATACAGCTGAATCAAGCGGGCGCTCTTCACATGATAATTGTGGTCCTCAGCAAAGGTAATGCGTTGCATGCAACGCTCCCACTTCTGGTTAAGCGCTAACCAAGCGAATTTTTGGTTTTCTTTTGCATTTGCGAGCAGCAGGCTCAAAGCTGGTGGTGGAGCCTCGCTTGGTGGTATTTGTTTGTTTTTGCTCCTATGCATCCAACAGCACTAGCACTTTTTGTTCGCAGGGGAGTCGTACTTGCGAGAGCTGGGCAAGATGGACCCGCTTCGCCGAGCACTGCACACGGTGGTGTCGGAGGCTGGCATCGCGGGGCTCACAGCTCGAGAAGCGGCGGACAGGATCTCGAGGCGGGGGTTGCTATCCGAGGCAGACATTCCCAGGTCGGTCAAGATGGCCAAGGTGATGAGAGACAGCCCATACTTGCTGGAGCTGACACGGGGTAGCAAGTTCGTGCTGTGGAGCACATTCCTCGAGGAGTCCTCCACAAAGGCTGGCTTTTTCCACAGTGGTGGTGCTGGTGCTGGTGGTGATAACCGAGCTCCGCCGGCCACCGTCACCGCCAAGGCGAGAAGAAGAACACAGGCTCTCTACGCAGCTCCTCCAGCGGCAGCAGCAGCAGTGCTAGTCGCAAGCTCCGGGGAAGAACAACAAGTGGGAAACCAGGATGATCGGTACCGAGCAGTAAATGGTGTGAGCTTTTATAAAGCTCAAGTTCACAGGGAAGATCACGCTCGTACGAGCGTAGTACGGCAGGAGGTTGGTGGTGGTGATCTGAGGGAAGCGATTGGAATTCGGCAAGATCACAGAGAAGTTCTTGGGAAGGAAGTGGTGAAGCGGCAGTTCTTCGACTTGAACCTAGCTCCGCAAGAACAGGAGGAAGAAATGTGAGCTCCGGGAAGAAACTTTGATAGAAGGAAGGCCAGGGAGCAAAGAATTGCTTGGGGATTCCAATCGATGGATTGGGCGAAAGAAAAAAGGTGTGATCGATCGATCGATCGATTCGATCGATCCATTATTTTTTCATTCCTCTTTCTTTTAACTTTATATAGACTGTCGGTTCGTCCGACGTGGCAAGCGCCCATTGGCTGTTCAAAGGACGCCCGAAAGGAAAGAGGAAGCACAAAAGGAGGGTTTGATTTTTTAGGGTTGAGACAGGCAGCTAGGGTTTGGTGGTTTGTTGTGTCCGCGGCCGATTCGACTCGAGTCTTCTCTTCTCCCCAGGCGCGCCGGCAGTAGCGAATATGAGTGGCAAGCAGCCCGCGGCGAAGAGCTCCTTCAAGCAGGAGCATGATCTCGGTGAGAGGAAATTTGCCCCAAAACGGTTTTTTGGGTGTACTTGATTGTGGCTTTTGTTTCGATTGCGCAGATTCTTTTGATTGATTTGTCGCTTACTGTTTCATAGCATGGAATTCGTTCTCACCCTTTTTGTTTTGCTCTCTCGCTCGCAGAGAAGAGAAAGGCCGAGGCTGCTAGGATTAGGGAGAAGTACCCAGAGAGAATTCCGGTAAATAACTGTCCTATAAAGGATGAATTTTTCGTTTGATCTTTCTGGCTGGATGTTCTAAAGTTCGCTCGTTCTTTTCTCCAGGTGATTGTTGAGAAGGCCGAGAGGAGTGACATCCCAAACATTGACAAGAAAAAGTGAGTTTTTATCCTTTTTTGTTTTTTTCCCTTTTCTCGTTCGCGAGCTGACCGAAAGGTGCAGGTATCTAGTTCCAGCCGACTTGACGGTTGGGCAGTTTGTCTACGTGATCCGCAAGCGGATTAAGCTCAGCGCCGAGAAGGCGATCTTCATCTTTGTAAATAACGTTCTCCCTCCCACTGGTACGTTTCTTGCCCGCGACCCTTTACATCTTCCAGGCGTTGTCCCGAAGCTAAAGACTTGGTTCTTTTTTTCCATTTTTTCTTTTCTGTGCAGCCGGAATCATGTCTGCAATCTACGACGAGCACAAAGACGAGGACGGTTTTCTGTACGTTACATACAGTGGCGAGAACACGTTCGGCCTCTCGCTATGAAGGAAGAATTCCCGAAAAAAAAAAAAGGAAAGAGAAGATGATCCCCATCCACAACAGCCGGCAATCACACACTTCGCGCCACCACACCTCCTTTCAAGTCTAAGAAGAAGCTGTACATTTGCTAAAAGGGTCACTATTGCTGCTGTTTAGAACAGGGTCAGTCTGTCCAGGTCTTGATCTCCTTTTCTTTCTGTTTAGGTGGGCTTTTCATGTACATATAGTTTGGAACTTGAAAACTCTTCTCTTTTTGAGTTCCAGCCAGGTCACTGCCACGCTGGCGGGGGATATGCTCCGACGTGGCGTGCCCTAACCTGAGTATGGAATATTTCTAAAATTATCTCCTTGGGAAGTTTCATACATATTGGATGATCCAATTGTGTTATACAGTTTTGACAGGGGAAACTCACACACACACACACACACCCACACATCAATCACATGTTGCTGTTAGAACTGTTGCACGAATCACAAGGCGGACCTGGGAAAAAGCATGCATTCTCCACCCCCTTTTTTTTCCTCTTGTCACTCACAAGGAGAGTGGTGCTTTTGTGCTTATATAAAGGTTTTCAGTGGCTACACTTGCTTAGCTAGGAACCCACTTTACTAAATCTCCCCTCTACAGTGCAATAATTTTTTAAGATGGTAGTTTTAAGGGCTAATCTGATTTTTTTCTAAAAGCATTTTCTTTTCTCTACTCCTTCCTGGGAGAAAAAAAAGGGGGTTGAGGGGGGAGAAATGCCTTGTCATGCAAGGGAGCATATACCTTCTTGCATTTCCAAGGATATGCTGGGCCTGCTGTGCCCCCCTACCCCATTGTCTTTGCAATTTGAGGGCTCTCACTCACAGCCAGTTTTGGTGGTGTAGTTCTCTCTCTCTTCTTCTTTTTTCCTGGTTTGCCTGCTGGTTTGCCTGTTGCTTTGTGTGGGAGGAGCAGTGACTAAGTGAGCAGCTACCTAGCAGGAGCAAAAAAAAAAAAGAAAGAGTCAAGAGGAGAAGAAAAGTGAGAGGAAAAATAACAGGAGGGCAGCAAAGATGAGAATAAGGAAGCACTTGTCCGCTGTTCATCTTCCTGCAGTTGCCAATCCCATCTTGAGGTCGCAAATCACTGCAGCGGCAAAGCCAGCAGCAGCAGCAGCGGCGGTGGTCACTGCAGCTCTAGCTCCTGGTAACTTTCCTGGATGCAAAGATGAGAAAGAAGAAGAAGAACAAGGAGAGAAATCCTTGCCTGGAAATCGAGGAGCGGTCCCGGCGAGAGCTCCAGCGCTTGTAGGGCTTGTAGCAGTCGAGGAGGAAGTCGGGGATAAGGTAGCAGCAGCAGCAGCGGTAGCAGCGGTGGAAGGAAAAGGCCGGGGCTTGGTTGCCGAGGTTTGTAGCAGCATTCGGACGAGCAGCAAGAACCAAGACGACGCCGCCGCTATGGTGCTGCTGCAGTCGAGCTCGTTGCAGCAGTTCCCGGATCTCTCGTCGCCCATGACTCCGGCGGTCTCGCTCCCCACCAGGCCAAAGAGGACAAAGCCCCGGAGCTGCAGTGCGGCTAGTCCCAGCTTTGTTTGTCCTCCGCCGCCTCCTCCTCCTCCTCGTCCGGGCCTCGAGCAGCGGCAACTCCAACTCGCCCCAGAGATGGCTTGCATGCAGCAGCAGCAACAGCAGCTCCTCCGAGATCACGGCGGCGGCGAGCTCGACGATGACGACTCAAGTCCCAAGTCAGTGAAGGTAACTTGTAGAGAAAAATCGTTTCTTTCCTTCTTTCCTTCTTCTGTGTCTGTGCCTCATGTCCCTGGAATGCCCCCGCGCTGATCCAATTCCTGGTATACTTTCTTTCCTGAGCTTGCTGCTGCTCTAAGTTGCTTCTCCACCTAATTGTCTCCTGGAGCTCCACCAAACCATTCAACCCAATTCCTTTCTTTCCCAAGCGAGCCATTGTTTGCTGACACCAATTCTTTTCTCTTTGCCTTTTCTCCATTTCTGTGGCCTGCAGGTAACTTCGGATCTTATCGACGTTTCATCGCCTCCGAGGTACGTTGTAACTTCTTCAGGTTCTTTCGTTGCCGAGCTGATGGTCGCAATTGTAATTGCAGGGAAGCACCACCACTGCAGAAGGAAGCAGCAGCAGCAGCAGCGGTAGCAGGAGATACCGACACCGGTGAGTGGAAACGACTTTGCCTTTAGTTTTTGTCGATCGATATCCTGCTGAATTCTTCTTTTCTTTCACAGTGGTGGTTAGTGGAGCACTAATAGAGCAGAGAAGAAGTACCAGGAGGCCGAGGAGTAGAAGCGCTAGCTTGAGGAACCTACAAGAGCTGGAGGACGACGGAGAGGCGAACGAAGGTAGCCAGTGCCGGCGAATGGACGGCAAAGGATGGAGGTGCCACCGCACGACTCAGCCCGACTACTCGCTCTGCGACTATCACCTGGACAAATTCCGAGAAACCAATCAGCGAAAGCTTAGGAACGCAGCGACAGCTCAGGAAGCAACAAGGAGACGCAGCCGAGTGAAGAGGAAACCCGTGAAAGCTCGATCACTCATGTCGATCTGAGAGTCGAGAGAGTCATGACAAGGCATGACTTGGAAGTCACTCAAACAAAAAGCCTGAGGGAAAACAAGCACTCAAGCGGAAAGAGGAGCTTGGAGCAGTTTCACAGTACCCGGTTTTTCAGTGCTGGTTGCTCCTCCTCCGCTTCCGACACCTCATCTCCGCCTTGAGAGGCGTGCCTTTCCTCGTCTTGCTTGGTGCTGGATTCTGCATGTCGTTAGGATTGCAAGCGGACGCTGCCATGGGCCTCCGTCTCAGCGCAGCTGTTCTGCATTCCCTCCTCAGGAACGTGCTCCATAAAATAAACCTCCCGCCAGCTTCTATGAAATAGGCGTTCTTTCGCATAGCTCTTGCAACTTGCACCGAAAGTGGGACGTCCTCGGGCTCAAAGAGTTTCAATAGCCCCTGCTGTAACACCTTCCTTCCTGCCTCACGGACTGTTAAGCCCGTATCTCCAGCTTCAGAGACCATTGTATAAAGCGCATGTGCAAGCGAGCTGGAGGTGGAGCTGTCTACAAAAAGCAAAGGACGGGTTTTGAGTTTGTTGAAGCATAGCGAGCCCGAAGCAACCAAAAGTACCTTCTATGGTGGCGCTTGCATCCCGACTTTCTCCATTCCTGGAAAAGATGGAGCACACAAGTTAAGTTTGGTAGTCTGCACTGATTTCGACCCCGGGTCCGTACCTCCTTCGATCCTCGGCCTCCGCAATTTTATCCTGCAGCGGATAAGCGGAGCGTAAGGATTCGTTTGATCCTCGAGATTCGAAAGTACTTACGAGTAGACTTGCCTCGGTGGCGATTTGAGCCATTGGAAAACTTCGATTGCGTTGCTCTTCAAGTCCGAGAGGGCGTATGAGAAGGCGGGGGCTCCTACGTCTGTTGTCGCTTGACGAGGATCTTTCTACGCAGTGTTCAAGCTTACTGGAGTTCCCGTCTGCCGGATCTTTGTTCCGGCCCTCGTCCGAGTTCTTTGTCACAACACATTCATCTTTCCGCTGCCTACTATTCCCTCGCTCTTTGACGAGCGGACAAATTTGCATCTCGGGCCCATCACCTCCTTCCACTACCTACAAAAGTTCGAAACAACCCTGTTGTGAGAAACCAAGAAAAAGTGTACCAAGAAACAGCTCTACACCTTACCTCTGCTTCTTTTTGCCTCAGCAGCGACGATAGCAGAGAGCCCATTACCACAATTGCCCGTTCTGAGCCGCCTTTAAGCAAAGAGAATGAACGAGAACGACTAGTCTGATAAGATAATCAGCAGCACTTGGGCATATAACTGTAAAGCTAATGTATATGTCAATTCTTCTTGGCGCGCTCAAGGCAATAACCGTACTGGTACGACAGAAGAACCACTTCAAACCTTCGTCACGCGTTTGCGCACCGAATACGTAGTCACGCCATCGTGGAAGCCCGTCTCCAGTTTTTGAAGCTTCACGAGTATCAGGAGGCATGCCTTCTGGATTTGCGGTTCTGCATAAGTTAAACCCACGATCATCCAAATGAGAACTGCCGAGGCTTAAGCTTACCGTACGCCAGAGACAACAGATCATCTGGTTTCAGCGCTTTTACGTCATCTGTGGGCTTCCCACATAGGCTGTCAGTCTTTAGGGAGAACAGATTGTTCAGCTTAGAAACAAACTCATTGAGTAGCTGAACAGAAAAGAACACTTCAAGATAATGCCAGCTGAAAACTAATAGCACATTACCTCTATGGAGACCTGCCACTTGAGCCACGATGGCGCAGCGTTAAATTCTTCAGAGGCCACAGGCTCCAGAAGGCCAGTACTCGACCCTGTACAAAAGATTAGATAGAAAAAAATGTTGTTACGGAGAAACTAACGTACCGTTACAGTTAAGCGGCCGCTTATCGACAAGATCATCGGCAGAGCCGAGCTCAAGCTCTCGTAGGCTCCTTCAAAACAAAAGATATAAAATTGATCTCATTCGCAATGAACAGTAAAAGTACCTAGAAGAACTGTTTCGAGAGACTTGTTCTTTAGATGGTTCTGTTACTAAGTGGTGTACAGCCGAATCCGAGTCAACAATGTGAGCAGTATCTGCATCATGAAGTGTATCAGTGGTAGAAACAAGAATCAAAATACTTGACGATATACCTGCGTCAGGGACGGAGAGAGCAGCAAGACTGGACGCTGATAAACCGAGATCCTTCAAGCTAAGGGACTCCAGATACCTGCACTCTAGTTAAGATCAACTTACACAGAAGAGCCAGTCCTTTTTTTTTTTGGTTTGGATACGAAGAACCAGTGTGATCACGCCTTTTGTCAAGCGTGGCAGACACTCCTTCTCTTTGGACCTCTAGATAAGCCTCCTTGATATCTTGCCTGGCTTTGGCTTCGTAGCTTTCTTCCGCAAGAGAGAAGTCATCACCTTGAACAGTTACTTCTGTGACAGCCTGGGAAAAATTCAAGGCAACAAGTTGAAAACTCGTAGAAAACTAGGAAAATCTAAGCAATCGAGCAGCTCCTTCTGTCTATCAAAGCATACTCACAAGGAATAAAAAAACACCACAAGAACTCAAGAAGGCAAAAGAGAAAGCATACCTCTTGCGATTGCTTGTAGCCATGCCGTTCAAGCTCCATCTCTAGCAGGCGATTGGTGTCCTCGTTTTTCTTGTACACCTCGTTGCAATGGCCGAGTAGCTCGTGGAAAGAAATAGTGCCCATTGTCACTGCCTTGAGAGTTTCTAGTCGAGCAGTCACCGATAGAACCCTGTCGTTGAGCTGATCCACAAACCTAGCAGCGGCTCCTGGACGAAGAAGAACCTAGAGAAAGCGTCCAGGAGAGATTGCTTACCAGATTCTTCCAGCGCTGTTACTCGGCCAATGCTGGTGTGCAGGCTTGTGCATTGCGTCTCCAGACGCGAGCAAAATCCCCGGAGCTCCGCGCAGAAATACGAGACGAGGCGCGGGCAGTCATCCATGGCTGGATCACGAGAAATATTTTAAATCAAAACCCTAACCCTCTAGAAATGTTAAACCTAAGAGTTTTAGTAAAACCTAAAGTTTATATTTTAAACAAAATTCTGTGAGAGAATAGTTTTCCATTAAATTACAGTTTATTCAATTTTTTTTTTAAAAATGCAATTTAACATCTGCTTCTAAATCTATGGCACTAATATTATTAATGTTAAATAATATAATATTAAATTTAAAATACTGATTAAAATACTTTTCAAATTTCAATAAATTTTAATTCCATCAAAACCCTTTAGCATAAACGTTAAATGGATGTTTTTTTACTTCATGGGAGAATATAAAGTTTTAACTTATATATATATATATATATACATGGTGGTTATTAATGATTAATTTATAAAAAAAGTTAAAGTGTTTTTGTTGAAAAATTTTAATATAATAAATATATATTTTACTATGTTTCAACATTCTTTTAAAATCACATTTAATAATAAAGATTATGACTAAAATCTATAATAATCTTAAATACATTTGTTTAAAATTTATATTATTTTATTGCTATTAAAGTTTTTATTTAATTTATTTCATATTTTATATTATTTTTCATTAGAGTTTGAAAGTGATATTTACTATCATATGCATTAAAAATGATCACTATTAACTTAAATAATAGGAATTTCTTGAGTTGTAAAAACAAAAATTTTAATTCACACAAATAAACATGATTCAAATTTAGGATAATATATAAACTGCAATCTTTGAGAAAGTCATTTGAAAAATAATAAACATTAAAACTACTAACAATTAATTAAATAATTATATATTATTTAACTTACATAAATTCATAATATCAATATCAACATCAATAATCTTTAATGTATGATCTCCATGGAAAGCAGATCTTTTAAGCTGGCACTTCAAACAATTACCAAATTCATTCTATTTGAGTTCTAATATGCACATAAAATAATCTTCATATATCTTTTCGTCATCATCACGGTTCTTCTTCCATCAGGTCTGCATTTCCATCATCCATTAATCCCAAATGCAATCAAGCATCTAGAAGAACACTTACGGAAGTTCGATAAGGTATGCTTCTCAGCTTGGTGGCCGCAACCGATGGATCCAACGCCAGCCCAGCGGCAGTTGATCCTGTTAATCCTGCTTGCCTCTGGTAGAAGCTCGCAGCCGCAGCAGCAACATTCTGGATGTCTGTCCATGCGCCAGCGCCTTGAGCTCCCAGCAATCCCGCCATGCCAAATGCTCCAGCGGCAGCCTACGCGTTCATCACAAGTTTAGCATAGGAAAAGTATGAAAAAGACACTAGAACTGCTTAACAAAGTACCTGTTGCTGGAGAAGCAGAAGCTGCAAAGCCGGGTCAAGCTGGCCCATGCTAAACGGCAGTCCTCCTGTGGCCACGATCATTTCACTGCAACAGAGACAGAGAGAGTTCCAAAGAATACAACTTCGAAGAAGAAACACTTTAAAAAGTTTGAAACTTACCTCTTGGTGGCTCGGAAAAGCTCGATGTAGCGGGAGCCAATGTTGTTGCGGTGGCGTTCCATGGCCCGCTGTGCCTCCTTGGAAGAGATAAACTCCACAAACGCCTCCCCCGTCGGACGGTCTGTAGCTCCAATCACGACGTAGATTCCATTTGGGACGATCCTGTAGCCTTGGAAAAACTCCGTAATCTCTCTGGGTCCGGAATTGTATGGAAGACCCCGCATCTTAATGCACACGTCCTCCGAAATGTCTCCTATAGCTCCAGGCCCCGGCGATTGTACTGCTCCTAAGTTTAAAGCCCCTACTCCTTGCATTCCATATCCTCCCAACATACCAGGAATCTAAGACCACAGAAAAATTAGTTTTTTCTTTCAGAAAAACAAGACTCAACTTACTTGGCCGAGAGATCCAACTGGTGACATGTTACCAACACCAGCGAACCACAGCTTTTGTTGAACTGAAGTCATCATCTCCCCTTTTGTACTTTTGAAAAGCTCCACATAACGCTGAAATGGACACGAAGGCGTCAAAAGGCGATAAAGAAAAACGTAAAACGATAACCGGAAAACAAACTTACCGAGCCCATCGGCTCTCTGTGGAGCTGCATCGCTCGAGCGGCTGTTTCTTCGTTAATAAACTCCACAAATGCCTGTAGTGGCCAGATTTGAAGAGAAAAAACTAAGAGCCATTAAACGGTAGGTCCAAAAAGGCTCACTTCACCAGTTGGTCGGCCATCAGCATGTGTACACAGGAAAATCCCATCCGGAGCAACTTGCATTCCCTTAAAGAAGGCCATGATATCGGCCGATGTGCAGCTGAAACCAGCAAGAATAAACGTGAGGACAAGCAGGGAGAATTGTTACTGCTCAACTCACCTGTAAGGCATTCCTCTCATGCGCACAACCCCCGTGAAACGCATGTCGGGATTACCAGCCATGCCAGGAATCCCAGTCCCTTGCAAGCCTGCTGCTCCATAGGCGCCGGAACTCCCTCGGCCGGCCATTCTCATAGCTCCCTGTTGAACAAACATTAGCTAAGAATTCGCCATTTCGAGAGCAAAAAACCTGCATGTCTGCTGGATGGCCCTTGAAAACTTCTATGTAGCGGCTTCCAATGTGTTGCCTGCGTCAAAGATCTTATTTGATATCGGGGTGACACAAATCACAAACCTGTTTCTTTCGAGGGATTTATTAGCCAGCTCAGCGGTTGCAAACTGGACATAAGCTTGGCCAGTGGACCTCCCTGAGCAACCAAAACTTAGCAAACAAACAAAGCAAGCTTGGGTGTTTGTTACCTTGAAAGTTGACACAGATAACGATTCCATCAGGCCCGAGGTCCAGACCCCGAAAAAACTCTTTAATATCAACCTCCGTGGCACTGAAAGGAAGTCCTCGGAGTCGAACAACATTGCTTCGCTTCCTGACACACGCAAGTTTCACGGGTGAGGCCTCAGAGTGTTTGTTTACCGGAGAAAGTAAAAACAAAGTTAAAAATCTCCTCCATTTCCCGGTTCCACGATCATAAGTTCTTTGAGCAGAAAGAGCAAGCAAAGAGCTCAGTAGTAGCAGCAGCGCAAGTAGCAGTGGAGCAATCAACACAAGTAGCACTCACAATTCATCATCGAGAGCACTTCCTCCCACCAGCCCTCCTAATCCCGCCATGGTCCAAATCCAAACCAATGTGCTGCAGTTAAATGCATGTCAAGAGAGAGGCAGCAGCATCACCCAGGAATTCTTCTTTCGGGAGCCCAGGCCCATAGTTCTTCCTTAACTTCTTACGTGAAAGAACGAAAGAGAGAAAATAAAATAAAATAAAGGAGCGAGAGAGACAAAAAGAAAGAGATGGGAAAAAACAATCGAAAGAAAGAAATATGCCAGGAAAAAAATTCAAGCAATCTCAAAGTAACCTTCAATCGATCGATCGCCCGCGCTCGTCGCCCAGGGCGCACAGCGAGAGAGAAATCCCTGGAGCAGCAGCAATGAGAAAACGCGGGGATGGAAAAACCCTAACCGCAAAATTCGCCGCAGGGAGGAGATTCTAGCGACGCAATGCGGCAGCGCCGGCGATCCGATCGATCCAGCTCGAGCTCGGCGCTGGAAACTGACACTGGCGCGCGGCGCTGGCGGCGACGATCATCCTCCAAATCCCCCGGACGGGAAGAAAATACCACCAAAGAATATTCTCGGACAATGTCGGGACTCGCCACGTGGACGAGAACCCCAGATATAGTCTTCTTTAGGGTTTCGCAATAACGAGAAATAGTGCCACGTGGGTGAAATGTGTACGTCCGTTGCGCAGATGCTATTTTGCCCGCGTGGCGGGGGTCATAACTCAAATTTCATCTCTCTTCTTCAATTTGACCTCTCCCTCGGTATTGACTACAGTAAGAATGCGGCAACACAAAACGCCATAGCCAAACCATCACAGGCAACAAACCCTTGTTTCTTCCTCTTTCTTTCGCGTTTCCTAGGAGGACGGCGGCGGCGCGGCGAGCTCGGGGAGCTCGAGCAGGCATCGAATCGATTGGCGCTCGTCGGCAGGAGCTCTCGCGGCAGCAACGGCGGCGCCGCCGCCTTAACGGCGCCGCTGCATTCATCGGCTCTCCAATCCGGCCGGCGCTCCCGGCTCTGGATCGCGGCATTAGGTGCGGCGGCGCGGCGTCACAGATGGTACGCTTGGAGCTAGGGTGAGATTTCTCGCCGCTTTCGCCATTGCTCGCGGCAGGACGGGGCATGCGGTAGAGCGCGTCATTGCACCGGCCGGTGCGGTGGGTTCTTTTCCAGAAGGTGAGCTATTCTCCTTTCTTCTTGCTTTTCTCGTTGATTGCGCTATGGCGCACTTTTGGGGGTTTTGGAGAATCGATTGCATTTGCGGCATTCATTGTGTGAGTTTTTTGTGAGATCGTGATGCAAGGTTGGAGTCCTTTGCTTGCTTGTTGCATTCCATTTTTGCTGCTGTTGCTGTTCTAAATCCTGTTTTTTTTTTCTCTCTTTTGTTCTTGTAGGTATGTTTAAGAATCAGCTCCAAGAGCTTGCTCAGAGGAGCTGCTTCAATCTTCCTGCGTATTCGTGTATAAGAGAGGGCCCCGACCATGCCCCTCGATTTAAGGCCACTGTGAATTTCAACGGGGAGGTTTTTGAGAGCCCAACATACTTCAGCACACTGCGGCATGCCGAGCATGCTGCTGCTGAGGTTGCTCTCAATACTCTATCTCGGCGAGGGCCTCCACAATCGTTGGCTGCGAGGATTCTGGTAAAAGAATGATTTTGTCGGTGTTGTGAGATCTTAATACTATTTGTGCTTTTGTTTTTTAGGATGAGACTGGAGTATACAAGAATCTCCTGCAAGAGACTGCCCAGAGGGCTGGTGTTCCATTGCCTATTTACACCACGGTGCGCTCGGGGCCCGGGCACTTGCCGGTTTTTACTTGCACAGTGGGGGTAGGGGGTATGATTTTTACTGGAGAAGCTGCGAAAACGAAAAAGCAAGCAGAGAAGAACGCGGCCATGACCGCATGGAGCTCTCTCAAACAATGTAAGTTCTTTGATGTCGAGAACGCGTGTTTGATGATTGAGAGTATTTGTTTTTCACAGACGCGAAGCAAGGTGGAACGTCAGCAACTTTATTGGAGTCGGAAGTGACCGAAGAACAGGAGCAGAATTTTGTAGCGCGTGCATTAGCTAGAGCTCACGGCAAAGACGAGAGGAGCGTGCTGCTCGCCCAGCAGTCGACGCCATCGAGGACGAGATTGCTACCGGGAGGTGGTCACAGCGGGCAGTATCATCCCGGGAGTTGGCTCCTCGACGCCAACTCGGAGACGTCCCAGTCTCACAGGTTTATGCACAGCTCTCAACACCACAGCAACGGCATGGTTCTTGGGAATGGTCACTCGTACCGCTCCATACCGCGACGAATGCCACCAGGGGCAGGGACTTCTCGTGACGTTCCTGGCATCGTTCCCAGCCGGAGCATGGCAGGAAACATGCCAAGGGTGATCCCAACGCAGCTGCGAAGCATTCCTACGGTCATTCGCAGGGACAGACATGACATAAGTGTGCCTCTGGAAGAGCACCAGAGGGACGAGGACGAATGGCTTAGAGGCGGCAGCAGCGAAAGCAAACAGGATGATCGCAGGGAGCTTAGAGACTCGGAGGCGAGCAGCTCCAGCTTCAGCTCAATGTGGTCGAATCCATCGTCGTCTCACTCTCGTTCGCCGTGGTGGGGGATGTCTTCTCCGGCTTCTTCAGGATTCGACGGCATGCCGGGGCCGCCTTACCGTGCCGGCTATGGAATGGCTCAGCCTGTGAGGATTCGCTCGGTGGTGGCTGTGAGTGCCGCGCCGCCTCCTCGGCGTCCCGAGCCGCGAGTCGAGAACGAGAGTGATTCCAACGATGGTGAAGCGGCTACTCGTCAAGTGCTGAGCCAGCTGAGTTTGTGAGATGGACAAAGGCAACGAAGATGGCGATCGATCGATCAATGCGACGAAGACGAAGGAGACCAAAGAAGCAGTGGAAGAGGAGGAAGAACAGAGGAACTCTGGGATTGAGGAAGAGGATCAAAGAGGCTGGAAGGACGAACGAAGCTATATCTTAAACGAGGACGACTTGGATGGAGAATGAGGTTGGTGTTTTTGTCTTCTTTTTTTCTCTTTTTTTTTTCCTTGATTTGCATTCATTATATAAATTATGGGAAAATTTTCAAAGGCCTTGCGCTAGGGCAATTAAAAACGTTTCTAGGGTTTTTGGAAGCGCTCTCGCTCACGACGATCGCCGGTGTCTCGCGGCTCGCTCCCTGCGCTGCGCTGCGCTGCCAATCGCGCCATGCCTAGGTAAGATCGGCGCCTGTTCTTTCCAGTTCCGAGATGGATTCGATCGATTTGCTCCGTGTGATAGATACTACTGCGATTACTGTGATACGTATCTCACGCACGACTCGGTAAGGCTGGAGAGCTTGTTCTTCTTTCTTGCTGACCTACATTTTGTGTGCAGCCGTCGGTGAGGAAGCAACACAATGCGGGGTACAAACACAAGGTAAGGATTATCAAAATTTGTAGAGGAATGACGTCCTTTCTATCTTTCAGTGCTTATAGTGTTTTTTAGTTCCACTCCTTTCTAGGATTTAAATGCTTTTTTTTCTATCTTTTGTTTGCTTTTTTTTCTATCTTGCGTTCACTCAATTCTTATAATGTTTTAGTTCCACTCCTTTCTAGTTTTCGTTTTCTTCATTCTGTGATCTTTTTAGTTCTGGATCCGTTTTTGTGATGAATTTTGATGTTCGATTTCATTTTAGTGTGTTCTTGTTCATGTTCGGTTTCGTGGTAGTGTGTTCTTGCGTTTTCGTTTCAGTTTTTTATTGCTTTCTGCTAGTTTTTATAGTTCTCAAGCTTGACGTTTTTTTTTATCTTGTCTTTCCAGGCGAACGTCAGAGCTTACTACCAACAGTTCGAGGAGCAACAGACCCAAAGCATCATCGACCAGAAAGTCAAGGAGCACCAACACATGGCCGCGTTCCAGGGATTCAAGCAGATGGTGCCAGTGCTCTCACGGCCAGGCATGGGACTGCCGGGCTCGTCTCCGGCACCAATGATACAACCAATGCGTCCTCCAGTGATGCATCCTGGTGCACCAGGTGGAGGTGAGCGAAAACTTCTCCATTCATTCCAATTCCGCTTTTCTCTTGTCTCGTCTTTGTTTGTTTATTCACAGCCAGAGTCTGCAAGTCTTTACAGTCCCTCTAGTCTTTTCTGCGGAAGCATTTGACTGACATGCAAGCGTTTTTTTCTTTTTCTTTGTGCCTTTTTTTCGCAGGCTATCCTCCTGGCCCCGGTGGATTCCGGCCCCCCGTAGCACCAGTTCCTGGCAACACGCAACCAAACGGCGTTTACAGACCTCCAATGACACCACCGGGTGCTCCAGGTCGACCACCACCCGGTTCCACAGCTCCAAACGGTATGCCTTCTTCCGGTGGTGGCTACTCCCAGCAGCCAGTGGTACCTGGTCAATCCGGCGGCGGCGGCGGCGGTGGTGGTGGTGGTGGTGGTGGTGGCTATGGTGGCTACGGTGGTTATTCACAGCCACCACCGGGTCCCGGCTATGGTTCGCAGCCTCCTCCTCCTCGACCAGGTATGTCCTCTGGCTATGGTTACTCTCAACCTCCTCCAGGCAGCGGAGATTGACAAACCAAGTTCCGCGATCTCGATCTCTCCGAGGGAAGTTCTCTTTTTCCTTGTTCTCAGCTCTACTTTTCGTCCCTTAAATGCGTTTTCTATTGCTTTAATACTATTGTGGTGGTGCGATTTAGCAGCAGCTAGATCGAACATGGCATGAATTTGTGGGACGAGAGCCGTGAATCAAAACGTGTTGTTCTTCCTCTATTTTTTTTCGCTCGCCGTTTGTTTTGGTTCTTCCAAGCCAGGGACGAAGGAAAGGACAGATTACCTGGGCGCGAGAGGCAGCCATCTGTACGTGTGGCAACTGGCTATGTGCTCAAAACGCGTATGGAGGCGATAGAGTGGTGTGCAATTCGCAAAACACGAGCACTTTTCGTCCGGTTAAAGATCGCGCCGCCCGCGTTGTCCACGTGTCCTACGGACAGAATATTTATAAGAAGATTCCTGGAGATGCATCATGGGGTTAATGTCATGGCCATCATGTTTTTATTTTATGACCCATTCGATGGATTCATACTTTAATCTGAAATCATTGTCTTTCAAAAGTCTTCAGTTTTCAACAACTCACAAAAACACTTGCATTTTTTTTCATCATCAGTTTCGTGTTTCAAGAAGAGTAAATAGATAGATAATTCTACTTTGTGCATGACATAATCTGAGGTGTTATCATTGAAAACTATAATTTACTTCCAGATCTTAAATCATATCCCAGAAACAACTATAAAATCGATAGAAAATCTTTACTTACTTAATCTATTATCATTACTCCACCATGAAAAGCAAGTCACTAAAGGCTGACCTGAATCAGAAGATGAATGAACAGCATGACATGACATGTCATGAACTCATACTATGGCCATTGTATGTATATAAAAAGTACATAAGTTAATCAATCAATAGAAGTACGACACGTGGACTACGTGCGGACGTGCGCGGCGGGGGCAGTGTCCCAAAGAGAGCGAGGTAGCTTTGTTTCTTCCTGGGCATTACTTTATCATTTTTGCTTTACCTCCGCGTGGTAAAAAGCGGTGAAAGGGTTAAACCGTTCTCCCACTGCTTTGCATTTTTGTGTGTGTGGGGAGTAGTGTGTCCTTGTAACACAGTAGCGCCTCTCCCCGGCTAGGGTTTAGTGAAGCGCGCTGCCAAGAGGAAGAAGCGGAGGAGTAAGCAAGGGCGCGGCGCTAGCTCGCCACTCCATCTCGCGAATCTATCTATCCGCGCGACGAATGGTGTGCCGAAATCCGGTAGGGTGGGAGCAGCAGCAGTGATTCTCGCATCGGCGCCCTGGCTGGGAGATTTCGGCCGGCGGATGGGAATTCCGTGGCGCTGAATCCATTGGATCGGCCACGGATCAGGTGGATCGGCAGGACAAGACTTGTTCTAGAGCCGCGGCAGTGGCGGCAATTTCTTGCTCTTGGTCCGATCTGCCAGAGCTGACGGGGTTTCCAATGCGTTGCTGAGAGTGGTACGGAAGGCCGTAGCTCGGAGAAAATGGGATGTATATTTTGCTTTGGAGGAGGCAAGCAGCAAGAGAGCCGGGTTGGAAGCAAGCCTGGAGCTCGGACGGCTCAACAGGCACCTGGGATCGTGGAGAAGGAGAAGTCGCTGGCAAAAATTCCCTCCGGTAAGATCGCTGGATGCCTAATTTTTGTTCGAGTTTTGGATGCCAGATCTCATGTCTACGTTTCTGGCTTTTCTTCCGTTTTTTTGCTACTATAGATAAGGTGAAGCCGGCAGCTTCTTTGGATCGCAAGAAGGAAAATGCACCCGGAGATTCCACTCCAGCCATTGCTGCTCAGACTTTCACGTTTCGAGAGCTTGCAGCAGCCACGAAGAACTTCAAGGCCGAGTGTCTCTTAGGTGAGGGTGGTTTTGGGCGAGTGTACAAAGGACGACTGGAGAATTCGGGACAGGTTTGTGGATTGGTTTTGTAGAGCGGTTTTCTTATACGTTTGTTGTTGTGAATTCAGGTAGTCGCTGTGAAGCAGCTGGATAGAAACGGATTGCAAGGCAATCGAGAGTTTTTGGTCGAGGTTTTAATGCTGAGTTTGCTTCACCATCCAAACTTGGTCAACCTCATTGGATACTGTGCAGACGGTGATCAGAGATTGCTAGTTTACGAGTTTATGCCGCTCGGGTGTTTGGAGGATCACTTGCATGGTACGATACTTTCTCTTGGTCTTGACGGGCTTACCTTCCTCTTGTTTTTGCTAGATATTCCCCCGGAGAAAGCCCCGCTCGACTGGAACACGCGCATGAAGATCGCGGCTGGTGCTGCGATGGGTCTAGAATATCTGCACGACAAGGCCAATCCGCCGGTGATTTACAGGGACTTCAAGTCATCCAACATTCTTCTTGACAACAATTTCCACCCAAAGCTCTCCGACTTCGGGCTTGCAAAGCTCGGCCCTGTCGGTGACAAGACGCACGTCTCAACGAGAGTTATGGGGACTTACGGCTATTGTGCACCAGAGTATGCGATGACGGGACAGTTGACATTAAAGTCGGACGTATACAGTTTTGGAGTCGTGCTACTAGAGCTTATAACAGGTAGAAAGGCGATCGACAACTCAAGACCAGCTGGAGAGCACAATCTTGTGGCCTGGGTACGCAGCTTTGCTACTTTTAGTACTGACGATGTGGCAAAGCTTGTTGTTCTGACCGTTGTTTTGTTTTCATCCAGGCAAGGCCCCTGTTCAAAGACCGGAGAAAGTTCCCGTCCATGTCGGATCCGCTGTTGCAAGGCAGATATCCAATGCGCGGCCTGTATCAGGCTCTGGCAGTCGCTGCGATGTGCCTCCAGGAGCAAGCGGGCACGAGACCACTGATCGCCGACGTAGTCACCGCTCTAAACTATCTCGCCAGCCAGACATACGACCCCGGCGTTCATCCTCTCTCCAACAGCAGGCTGACGCCACCATCGTCCAGAGAGAAGCGGGAGAAGGACAAAGAGAAAGAGAGGAAGCTGTCACTCGCAACTCCTGCTGCTGCTGCTGCTGCTGGTGATGATCGCGGCAAGAACAATGGCGTGCATTCTCCGAGCGTCACAGCCAAATCGTCCGCAAAGTCATCTCCAAATGTCCGTGTGAAAGACGAGGACAGTCCCAGGAACTTACTGGAGGAAGCCAAGCTGCACGATAGCAGCAAACAGCGAGAGGCGGACGACTGGGAGATGTACGACAGGAACTCGATGAGCCCCAGCCGCACCAACAAGATCTTCAAGGAAGGATTCAAGATCTTGGATCACGACCGGGAGAGAGCGGTGGCGGAAGCAAGGATCTGGGGGGAGAGCTACAGGGAAAGGAAGCGAGGCAACACACAGGGTGGTGGTGGGGGCGGCGGCGGCAGTGGTGGTGGCAGTGGTGGTGGTGGTGGTGGTGGCACCGATTGCTAGAGCGAGAAGAGCAGAACGAGCGAATTTTGTCCTCTGAGCTGATGCCTCACGAGCAGGCCAGGTTTTAAAATTTACATTTCTCTCCCTCTCGCTGTTACAGTGATCTTTTCTTTTTTGTTCTTGTTGTATAGCTTCCAGAGCTCTTCTAAGTTCTCCGAGCGGCTATAGCTTCCAGAGCTCTTCCAAGTCCTCCGAGCGGCTATAGCTTCCAGAGTTCTTCCAAGTTCTCGGCTACTTTCAGTGGTGCCAGGGAAAGCCGGACGTGAACTGGGCCTCGAGCTTCTCGTTGGTCTCGTACAGGATGCTGTCCTCGATCTTATAGTCGGGCTTGAGATCGTCCAGTCCCTCGAGCATGAAGTCGGCCTCGTCGATCACTTGGTGGAAGTCGATGGGTGGCGGCGGGGGTTGCAGAACCGGGACCACGATTCGAGGCTGGTGATTGAGAGCTTGCGGCGATGACGATGACACCATGCTGCCACTGGGGGATTTCTTAAACTTGAGCTTGACGACGCCCGCGCGGCTACTAGGAGCTCTCTCCGTCTCGACTTTCGTCCGTTTCCTCTGGTGGATTTCTTCCAAGCTGTCTCTCCGCGTGGACGAGGATTTGTCGCCGCTTCTCGAGAACCTGGAACGAGGAAAAAGAAAAAGAAAAAAAGCATGAGTTTCTTTCTCCATGCTCGAAGTCGATCGATCGCTGCTGTGAGAAAAAGTGAGCTTTGTTTTTTACCTCTCGCGGAGTATCTTGAACGCTTCCTTCGTGGCATACGGCTGGCCTGTCTTGGGATCTTTGTACCTGCGCAAAGACGCAAAAAACAAAACACCAGATTTTTGTCCCAGTTTTCGCTTGTCCTTGTAAAGAAGAGAAAAAATGACTCACCTGGCTGGCTGGCCTGTTACAACGCATAAAGCTTTCTCGGGATCTGGCGTAGAAAAGAAGAAAAGGAAAAAAACAAGAGAGAAAGTGAGAATCGAGGGTGAAAACGAGAAAGAATGAGAAAGGAGAGTGACTCGTTTACAAGGCTTTGCTTTGGAGTTAATGGCGCTAGGAAGCGTGCTCACTTTGGTGAACTCCAGTACATTGTATCCTGAAAGTGTGAGAGCGTTAAACAAAGACGATCTTTGGAAATGCTCGAGATTGCAGTACCGCCTTTGGAAATGAATCTGACTTGAGGACCATTGTACACCGTTTTCTGTATGATTGCCTTCTTCTTAACTTCTTCTTCTCGAGCGAGCATGCGTTCCAGAGACTGTAAATTGATAACCTCTGCGTTCGTAATGAATGAGTCGAGAAAAAATATGGAGCGAATGTACCTGTTTGAGCTGCCTCGAGAAGCATGTCTTCCTGAGACATCTTCTTCTCTTCTTCCCGTTTTCTCTTCACTGGCTGGATAGAACAGCGAAAACGAAAAAGCAAAAGATCAAGCAAGAGACAAGAGAAGGCTTGCATGAAAACTGAAATCGTACCTTGGGTGTGGTTTGCAAAGCTGCTTTGGCGGCTCTCTCAGCTTGCCTCGCCACAACGGACACTCTCGTGGATTTTCTGATGATCCTCTCGCTTTCTCCATCGCCATCCTCCTGATCACTTGGCCGGGGCGGTGCCTTTTTCTTTGGCTTCGGCTTGTCTGTGCGTGCAACGTTTTTCAGTAGAAAGCTGACGCTCTTTTTCTTCTTGTCCGCCCCGGGCTTCTTGTAGGGAAACTTTCTCTTCTTTTTGACAACCTCTCTATAAAATGGAAAAGAAAAAAAAAACGCTAAGAACTTTTCTTCGAAAAGAGAAAGAGTGAGAGAGCTTACTTTTCTTCTTTAACTTCGTTTTCCGATTCAGGTCCCTGCAAAAACCTCATACAAATATCACACGAAAAATGAAAAGCAAAGAATGCGAACCTCGTCTTGATCAAAGTCACTGTCGAATTCATCAACCTCTTCTGCCTCTTCCTGATATTCCTTATCATTGTTTTCCTGCGAAGAAGCAAAAATTAAACACTCTAGAGCACAATGTAGCAGTGATCATCACCTCCTTGAACGCTTCCTGGCCCCAAAACGAGTTATCCGCCTCAACCTCATCATCCAGCAGCTTCGTGAGCCTAGAAATCCGATAAAAAACCGGGCAAATCTCCCCAAAAACCCCCACCTTTTCCCTCGCGTCGCCCGCGCCGAGCGCGGCAATTCCTCCATAGCTCAAAATCCCAACAAGAGCCCTAGATGCAACGCATATTCTCCACCGAAAGTCCACTTACCAGAATATCCGCCGGACCTTCCGTGCGGCAGACATACGTTAGCATATTCTTCTAAAGCTAATCTTAGCCGCTTGTGATTGGCCACCGCAGGATAAAGACGCCGCACGCGGCAGGAAAACCGCATCTGCGGCGCCGCACGATCGGACGCACGCCACGAACTGGCGGCAAAAAGCCAACTGTGCGTTTGCTCCACACACATTCTCCCTCTCTTCTTCTCTCACATACATTCTTGTTTGCCACAGAGCTTTCGGGGAGTATCCCTCTCTTGGCTATGGCGCAGGGTTAGGGTAAGAGGCAGTGTAGGTCTTCGCGTCTTGGCGCCTTGGCGGCTCTGGTGCTGCGGATTAGCTTCTTCCTCGCGACGCGAATCAGAGGCGCTGGTGACCGGCGCTGCGTTTGCGTGTGATTCCAGGTGAGAGCGCCAGATCGATCGCTAGGGTTTGAATCTTCCGAGAGTGACAACAGAGCTCTCGGCAGTTATTAGGTTCTAGATCGTTTCGCGGAGCTTGGAATATCGTTCTAACGCTTTTGGTTTGTCTTGTGTTCTAGGATGCGCCCAAGGCAGCTAGAGTTCTAGCGAGCTCGGCTTTGGGTCGTTTTTTATTTTTACTTCTTCTTGCGCAATGGCTGCTGAGGGGCACATTCACGCTCATCACCAAAATGTGCACAGTATGCACGTCGACGACACGGATGAGGTGGGAGAAGAGATCGAGGGGGTAAACCATCTCCATCCTCACTCTCATATGCATATGCACGAAGACCACGGGCTCCACGATCACCACCACGACATTGAGATCGAGGACCAAGACGACGAGGAGCAAGATGGCGAGGGCCTGGACGAGGCGGAGATGCATTCCGATGGTGGTCACCCCGTAGAGCCTCCGGCGGCTCTCACCGGACGGTCTCATGCCACGACCCAGCTCACGCTCTCGTACCAAGGAGAAGTTTATGTCTTCGATACAGTTGCTCCAGAGAAGGTACTGTTTTTTGCTGCTCTTCATTCGTTCTCGTGGTTTCCTGGTGTCATGATCAACTAAAAACTTGATTTTGATCTTTGGTTTTGGCAGGTCCAAGAGGTGTTGCTACTGCTGGGAGGCCGGGAGATACAGTCGAGCCTCCCTGGAGCGAGCATGCCCGGGCACCACTATGGGAAGGTAATGCCACTGTTCTCGTATGTATATTCGAACCAAGTGTCAATATCTCTGGGCTTACAGATCGCTTGGAATGAAAACAGGGCCTTTCGGAACTCCCGTCGCGAATGAACATGCCGCAGAGAATCACGGCGCTCACGAGGTTCCGGGAGAAGCGGAAGGAGCGCTGCTATGACAAGAAGATCCGCTACACTGTTCGCAAGGAAGTTGCACAGAGGTATTGAGTGTGCGGTGGAACTGTTGTGCTTTGCCTTTCATCAATTAATATCAATCTCTTCTTGTTTTTTGTGTCTCTTTTCTCGGCAGAATGCATCGGAAGAAGGGTCAGTTCGCGTCCTCCAAGGTACTCCAGGAGGAAGCGGCAGCCAAAGCTAATGGAAGCAGTCCTCCAACACCTGGACAACCCACTCCACCGGGTGGTGCTCCTCAACCAGAAATCCTGTAAGTCATCTGGCCTTTTGCAACTTAGTTTCCTCATCTTTTCCTTTCTTTGTTCTGTCTCTAGATGCACACATTGTGGCACTGGTGAGCGATCGACACCGATGATGAGACGAGGCCCCTCTGGACCGAGGACGTTGTGCAATGCCTGCGGATTAATGTGGGCCAATAAGGTAGACACCCAAGTTCTCTCTATAATCCCGGTTTCGCTGTTAAAAACTCAAAAGCCGTTTCAGGGTGTCTTGAGGGACCTCTCCAAAAACGCACAAGCACCAGGCTCCGTTCTCCAGATTCCTACTCTTACACAAGTAAGCTCTCCCAAGGTTTCCAATTTTCTCTTAAGTTTTCCTCTCCAAGTTTCCATTTTTCTCTCTTCTAACTTCTCTTTGTCTGTGTAACAGAGTGAATCAGAAGGCCACAAACCTGACCCAGCCTGAGATACAAAGCATTGTTCTAAAGCGAGAATAAGAACTCCATACAAAGCAAAGGAACGAGAAGAGGTGGGTGATTCGCTGTTTGATGCAATATTGTACACGAATGTGTTCATAGAAGCATACTTAAAATTATAGATTCTCCTGTTCTTGCTGTAACTTGTTGCCATGAAACCAAATGTACTAACATGGAAAAAGTCAGTTTCCATGGTATCCATTGTAAAAATCCTTGATACAACCTTATTGGAGTTGGAATCCAAGCGATTTGTTTTACGGCGTTGTGGTGGCCTCAGTCTCTGGCCCAGACTTGAGATCGAACTTTTCCTGGAGTAGCGTGAGAACTTCTGCCAGAGATCTCACCTTGAAAGTGGGGCGTTGGAGCAAAGACAGATGCGAGACGATGTATTTGTCGTCTTGATCCAAGAGACAAGTCGCTGTTCCAGCCTTGTTGCCACAAACAATCTACAAGAACTTATGAACTTCAGAAGCAATAGATAGAAATCGAGAGGAACTTACATCATCTTTTGGATGGTCTCCAACCATGAGAACTTCGTGCGGGGGAACTCCCCATGCGCTACAGATGTGGAGGAGCGGGGCCGGATTTGGTTTGTATGGACGGAATTCTCTGCTTAGAGCTGGGCTAAAGTGTGGTTTCTGCGAGGAAGTGAGTAATTAGCTACGATCGAAGAGAGAAAAGGATAGAGCACCTCGAATCTAGCATGGAAGTAATCGACAGCAGCCTTGACGTTGCGAGTGATCAATCCCCTCCTGCGATTTACTGCTCAAAAACTTAGGGAAGAACTAACAAGCTTCACGTTACTTACTTGAGCTTCTTCTCGTCGATGAAGTCACACAGCTCCTTCGCTCCTACACACACAAGAACAGAGAACTGAAATTTCCCGAATTGGAGCTTGTCCAAGCCAAATTCCAAATCCAAATCTGTGAGCGCTTACCAGGCATGAATTGGAGCTTGTCCAATCCCTCCTTCTCGTACTCGGCAATCGTCGCATAGGCGCGCTGCTGCTCCTCCGGGCTCCACTGCTCAATCTCGTGCAAAATATCGATCGCCTTGTCCGAGCTCGGCTGATGCCGGCTCCCCAGGACCGCCCTGTACAGCGCCGGGAAATCGATCACTGGAATCGTGAGAGTGCCGTCCATATCGAAGACGACGCCGCGCAGTGTCCCGCGCAATGCGGGCAGCGCCATAGCCGAAATTCGCATAAACCCTAAGCTCTGTTTTCTAGGGTTTTTATGGGCCTCTTCTTTTTAGGGTTCTAACGATCCAAGATTTGGTGGTATTCCATTTCGAAATGTAGCCGGCCGGCGCGACTCCCGCCAAATCGCCATCCAATCGCCGCAATCCACGTGCCTCCTTTCAATGTGGGCGGGAAAATATCGCAACGAGGAAGCTTTTCGGCTATAGGGTTTTATACCGTGTGGCGGTTTAGGAGGGAGCGTTACTTGGAGGCGCTCAATCGATTCCTCCGCGAGCTTGCTAGCCTTGCTCATTTCGGTCCCGCTGCTCGTCCGAGAATTCCCAGGTGAGATTTCTAGTGTCGGCGGCTTCGATCTGTTGCTAAGCCTTGCAAATCCAGGAAAATGTATGTCATCAAGAGGGATGGGAAGCAAGAGGCTGTGCATTTCGACAAGATCACCGCCCGGCTCAAGAAGCTGAGCTATTCCCTCAATCCCGACTACTGTGATCCCGTGATTGTGGCACAGAAAGTATGCGCTGGGGTTTACAAGGGTGTTACTACCAGTCAGCTGGACGAATTGGCTGCCGAGACTGCGGCTTCCATGACTACAAGTCATCCTGACTATGCAATTGTAAGCTAGAAGCTTGTTCTCGTTTGTTCTGCAAGCCTTTTTCTTTGTCAGTTTACTTATAGTTTTCACAGCTTGCTGCCAGGATTGTTGTCTCGAATCTTCACAAGAAAACTAAAAAGTCCTTCTCAGAGACGTAAGTTTTCTTCGAGAATTTCTCTATTGTCTAACCAAAGCTGGGCTATCAGTGTGAAGGAGATGTACAGCCACGTTGACGAGAGGTCTGGACTGAAAGCTCCTCTCATTGCTAATGATGTCTACGATATCATTATGAAAGTGAGTATTCCCGTCATTGGTTCTCCTTTTCTGTTCTCATCAGTTTCTCTTTCTCTTTTCGTCCAGAACGCGGCGAAGCTTGATAGCGAAATCATCTATGACAGGGATTTCGACTATGACTACTTTGGATTCAAGACGCTCGAAAGATCATACCTCTTGAAAGTGAACGGGAGAGTCGTTGAGCGGCCTCAACACATGCTCATGCGAGTATCTGTAGGCATACACAAGGAGGACATTGAAGCTGCAATCAAGACGTACCATCTCATGTCTCAGCGTTGGTTTACCCATGCCTCACCAACACTGTTTAATGCTGGGACTCCTCGGCCTCAGGTTGGTTGCTTCGTGATTCTCCTTTTGTAGTTTACTTCTAACTGTGACTTCTACAGCTTAGTAGCTGCTTCCTTCTCTGCATGAAGGAGGATAGCATTGAAGGCATTTATGATACCCTGAAGGAGTGTGCAGTAATCAGCAAGTCAGCCGGGGGTATCGGCCTCTCTGTCCATAATATTCGCGCCACTAACAGTTATATCCGTGGAACGAACGGCACGTCGAACGGGATTGTTCCTATGCTTCGAGTGTTCAATGATACCGCTCGCTATGTCGATCAAGGGGGAGGCAAGAGGAAAGGTATCATGTACAGCTTTTCAACATTTATAATCATCATTATTACTTTTGTTTCGTTTTTTACCACATGCAGGAGCTTTTGCGATCTATTTGGAACCGTGGCATGCAGATGTGTTTGATTGGCTTGATCTTAAGAAAAACCACGGGAAGGTAGTGTCTTTTTGTCCTGCAATTCATTTTTAGTTTCTTGCATCAACGCACAGGAGGAGAACCGTGCCCGTGATTTGTTCTATGGCCTCTGGATTCCTGATCTTTTCATGGAACGAGTTAGGAGCAATAGCGATTGGTCTTTGTTTTGTCCGAACGAGGCTCCTGGATTGGCTGACTGCTGGGGTGAGGAGTTTGAAAGCTTGTACACGAGATATGAAAGGGAGGTCAGTCTCCTTGCTCTACTTCTTTTATGAGCTTAATTTTTGCGGTGTTTATCAGGGGAGAGCTAAACGTTCCTTATCAGCTCAGAAACTTTGGTTTGCAATTTTGGAATCTCAGATGGAAACTGGCAATCCGTACATGGTTTTTAAGGTGTGAACTCAAGGAGTGTCTTCTTATTTCTGACGCTTTTTTCCGTTTCAGGATACTTGCAACAGGAAGAGCAATCAACAAAATCTGGGGACTATCAAGTGCTCAAATCTCTGCACTGAGATTGTGGAATATACCAGTCCCTCTGAGACAGCCGTGTGTAACCTTGCATCCATTGCGTTACCTCGGTTTGTTCGTGAACAAGGAATAAACTCGGAAACGAAACTGGTCGGTAGCAAGGGATGCAAAAATAGAGTTTTTGATTTCCACAAACTGGCTGAGGTAACACAGCTTTCATGATTCTCTAACATCAACTTGGAGATTGTTTCCAGGTGACAACAGTAGTGACTGAAAACTTAAACAAGATTATTGACATCAACTACTACCCAGTTGACACAGCAAAGCGTTCAAATCTTCGACATCGTCCAATTGGGATTGGTGTCCAAGGATTAGCTGACGCATTTATTCTCCTTGGGCTCCCATTCGACTCCGAAGAGGTACAACGTTTTTTTCTTGTGGCCGTCTTACGTTTTCTCTTTTACAGGCTCGTGATCTGAACAAAGACATTTTTGAGACGATCTATTATCATGCCATGAAAACGTCAAGCATTCTGGCAGAATTATATGGAGTTTATGAAACATATCCTGGAAGTCCAGTCAGTAAGGTTCGGGTAGTGAGTATTATCTTTTTCTGTATCAATGCTTTGTCTTTCCAGGGAGTCTTTCAACCAGATATGTGGAACGTTATACCGTCTGGTCGTTGGGATTGGGCAGCCTTGAAGGAAATGGTCGCCCGCCATGGAGTACGCAATTCCTTACTTGTTGCTCCAATGCCGACAGCATCAACAAGCCAAATTCTTGGAAACAACGAGTGTTTTGAGCCTTATACATCCAATATTTACACTCGACGCGTTCTAAGGTATGCCTTCTTTCTGTATCAGCTGTGATACTTATGTTGCCTGCCACAGTGGTGAATTTGTTGTGGTTAACAAGCATTTGCTGAACGATTTGACCGATTTGGGAATATGGACACCGGATCTGAAGAACAAAGTAATGGCTTATAATGGCTCCATTCAGAGCATCGAAGGGATACCGGACGATCTTAAACAAATATACCGGTTTGTTTGTGGACAAGTTTTTATTCTTTCTGAACCAAGTCAATCAGGACTGTATGGGAGATCAAGCAACGGACGATCGTTGATATGGCTGTGGAACGCGGAGCATACATTGACCAAAGCCAAAGCCTGAACATTCATATGGAGCAGCCCACAACGACCAAATTGACTTCACTACACTTCCACGCATGGTCAGGGGTAAGGACACTCAGCATATTAGCGTTTTCTATGCCTGTCTTCAACGAAATTAATTTCAGGGCCTAAAGACTGGTATGTACTATCTACGATCGCAAGCTGCTGCGGACGCTATCAAGTTCACTGTCGATACGGCCTCGTTAAAGGTAGGATTCTATTTTCTACGGTTTTATCTAACCTTATCTTCTGTACCAGAGTCCTACAAAGACAACCGACGAAGAGCTATTAGCGCAGATGGTTTGCTCACTCGAGAATCGTGAGAACTGCTTAGCGTGTGGTAGCTAGGTACATGTTTAGAATGTGTTTTACGCTACGTAGGCCAGCAGAGCTCTAACTTAGTGCTCAGTAATCTACACTCGAAGGCCTGTATATGATATTTGAGGTAAGAAATCCTGTTCCGAATTTTTGGGATCCCTTTTGGGTGTGAGCGTTGACGCCAGTTACAGGTGACTAGAAAGAAGAGACTGATGCGTTTATCCTTATAAAACTGTCCTCTTTGGGGTTTTAATCGCTTTATTTCACGCAGCGTAGCTCAGCGGTCATCGTCTTTGTGGGTGTGAACAGTAATAACCTTGATCGGCCTCTCTGTGAGTATACTTATGTCTTTCAATTTTCGTTTCTCATCTAGTTTCTTAAGCAGCGACGAAGATGCGATTACTGGATCTCTCGGCCGTGAGGTACGCCCAGCGACTGATAGTAGGACATAGATCTGTCTGGTTAATTTCTCCGTGGAGAGTTTAGATCTCTCTCACACTCATCAGAAAGATGGAAGGCTTGAGCAGAAGCGAGCCTGCAGATTCAAGGGGGTTTACACAGGATACAGGCCTCCTGATGAACGATGGCTCGAAGCAGACAAGCACGTATCAGCTGTTGTCGACTAGCACAGAATCAGGGAAGCATTTTTATCGATACGTTGTTTGGTGCGCCCTTTTGGCATCTCTGAATTCTGTGCTACTTGGATATGGTATGTGTTTTGTTTCTTTACTTAGCATTGAGTTTTAACTTTGTGTCTTCCAGACATTGGTATCATGAGCGGAGCAGTCTTGTTCATAAAGGAGGATCTGAAAATTCATGAGCTACAGGAAGAGGTTCTGGTAGGCTCGCTAAACTTGATATCTTTAGTCGGCGGAGTTTTAGCAGGCAGGCTTTCGGACTCCATTGGCCGAAAGAAAACAATGGCAATAGCTTCCGTCATATTCTTTCTCGGAGCAGGGGTGATGGGGCTGGCTCCAAATTTTGGTATCTTGCTGGGTGGCCGTATAGTGGCAGGGATAGGAGTAGGATTCGGGCTTATGATAGCACCAGTCTACACTGCAGAGTTGGCACCAGCAGCAAGCAGGGGTGCTTTGGTTTCGTTTCCAGAGATATTTATCAACGTGGGAATACTGCTGGGATACATTGTCAGCTACTTACTGTCGGGATTGTCTGCGGGACTCAGCTGGAGGCTGATGCTCGGGGCAGGATGCATCCCAGCGATCGTTCTGGCCGTTGGTGTTCTTTTCATGCCAGAATCGCCGAGGTGGCTCGTCATGCAAAGCAGAATACCCGAGGCGGAAGTGGTCCTTCTTAAGACCTCGAGAAGCAAGCAGGAAGCGGATGAAAGGCTGGCGGATATAATGGCAGCCGCGAAGCTCAACCAGCAAGCCGGCAAGAGCCAAGGGGAAGGAGTCTGGAACGAGCTTCTGTGGCCGGTTCCATCCGTGAGAAGGATGGTCATCGTGGCCTTGGGTATCCAGTTCTTCCAGCAAGCCTCAGGGATCGACGCTCTCGTGTACTACAGCCCAGCGGTCTTTAACCAGGCCGGGATCACAAGCAAAGCAGGAGTTCTAGGAACCACAGTGGCGGTAGGATTCACCAAGACGGCTTTCATTCTCGTGGCAACGTCTTTGCTGGATAAAGTCGGCCGGAGGCCACTGCTTCTCGCGAGCAGCGTCGGGATGGCAGCGTCACTGGCGACAGTGGCTCTCGGCTTTGTCTTCTACGACAGTGCCATGGATCCAAGCAAGCATCGCCACCTTCCAGTCCAGTCTACAGCTAAATCCCCCGGAGGAAGCTCGGACGTAGCTCTAGCTCTGATCATCACCGCCATATGCGTCTTCATGGCTTCCTTCTCGGTGGGATTCGGGCCGATCAACATGGTTCTAAACTCCGAGGTGTTTCCTCTCAGGCTCCGAGCTCAAGCCGTGAGCCTGGGACTGCTCGTCAACCGGCTGGTTAGCGGCACCATCGGGCTCACGTTCTTGAGCATCTCCGAGGCACTGTCACTGGCCGGGACGTTCTTTCTCTTCGCGGGCATCGCGGCAGCGTCGGTGGTGTTCATCTACTTTCTGGTTCCCGAGACCAAGGGGAAGAGTTTGGAGGAGATCGCTGGGATGTTTGAGCGGGAGGGGATGCTCGCTGGATCGCCAGAGCTTGTGGAGCTTTCTTCATCCACGGCGGTGGCGGGAGGCCAATCTTTCAAGTACGAGGACGTGGGGAGTGCTCCTCACGAGCACTTGGAAGTGGAGGGGAGCCATGAAGAAGGTGGTGGGCGGCTTGGGCAGCAGGGAATGTATGATGAAGAATCTCACAAGAAGCTGCTAGCTAAAGTCAAGTTGATTGCTGCGAAACAGGGCAATGTTTGAACCAAGTGTTTCGGATGATTCAGAATTTGGGTATTTTTATTTTAACAAAATTGTTAAATAAAATTCAAATCCAAAAGTTTTGTGTTGGCCAGGATTCCAAAGACGTTTTCTTAAAAGAGAGTTAACAACAAATCAAAAGGTGATTGTGTGCAATTGAAAAGGTGTAAATAAAAGTATTGTCGGGATTTATTATCACAAGTCATATACGACTGACATGCGGTTAGGGTTTGTCTTTCCCACCCAACATTGACACGGCAGCAAGTATTATGGAACTAGAGGGCATTGCTCATCCCCCAATTCCTAGATGGAAACATATAGCAAGTGCTTGAATGGCAATTTCCCTTCTCTCCCAAAAGTTCCATGGAAACAAATGCTTGAATGATAACTTCCATTTTCTTCCAAATCTCCAACTATAAACACAAGTATCTATTTATTTATATTTACGTAATCCTCAGTTTTATTAAAGTTGCATACAAGCTGATATAGACATACACACTAGTGCATTTCATTTCATGCTCGCTTCTTGAGCTCGGTGAAAGGATAGACCGAAGAGGTACCGCTGATGGACGCATCCCCAAGCTTGAACGAATCGTAGTGCAGGAAGAAATCCGCAAACAAGATCCGCGTAACCAACACCACAAAGTTCTTCCCGGGGCACTGCTTGTTGTCCACGCTCGGCGAGCTCGTCTCGGGGCCATTCGACCAGAAAACATGCTCCAGCAGGCGCTGCCCCTCCTCCCCCATGAACCTCCGAGGCTTGAACTTCTCGGGCTCCTCAAACACCACCGGGTCGCGCGTCACCAGCGGCTGGTACCCGTACAGCATCTCCCCGGCCTTGATCTTGAACGCCTCGACGTGCGTCTCAAGGACAAAGTCCACCTTGGCCTTGCCGTACTGCGACTGTACCGGGGGCTCGATGCGCAGCACCTCGTACACCGTGGACTGCAGCAGCGGCATGGCGCCCAGTGCCGCGGCGTCCACGCCGCCGCGGCCCACGGCACGCCGCACCTCCTCCCGCAGCTCCGCCTGCAGGTCAAACTCGTCAAAGTCGCTCACATTCTTGAACAGCGCGGGCCACAGAATGGTCAGCCCCCCGAAGGTGTTGAAACAGATGAAGAAGACAAGGTTGTGCAGGGCCTCGTCGGGGTCGATACCGTGCGGCACCGCGAGCGACACCGCGCGCTCCCCGTTGGCCTTAAAGAAGCGCACGATCTTCTGGTACTCGGGCGCCACGATGATGAAGGGTATGGGCGCGGTGTGGAGCAGCGGCTCCTGGATCACGGCGGGCAGGCCCGCGTTGAGCACCGGCGCGATCTGCGGCGCGAGCCACAGCTTGATCCCGGTCTCGGTGAGCGCATTCCCGTCGGTTGCATCCTTGTCCAGCACCGTCTTGGTCAGGAATCGGAGCGCGATCTTCCCCAGCACAGGGTTGAGCTCCGGTGGATCATCCGGGAGCAGCCCCGAGACAATTCCGCCCAGCAGCCCCCCGGACTTCTTCGGCTTGTTGAGCTCGGCGTCCCACTCGGCGTACCCGGCAGCCGCTGCCGCACGGAGCTCCGGGATCCAACGGTCGTGGTTGCTGCTGAGGATGTCCATGCAGTACGACTTGAGCTGCGCATGCTTGGGCTCCTCCTGTCCGAGATAGGACAGCACGCGGTAGCCGCCCGTGAATCCGGTGCTCGGGACGTAGGTGCCGGTGAACACATTCTTCTTACTCACCTTAGTGAGATCGAACAGGACAGGGAAGCTCTTCTGATCCAGCAGCGCAATGACTTTGGAATCGGGGAAGAAAGGTGGCCCAGGGGGCATGTTGACGCGGAAGACAGTGCTCCCGTACTCGTCCCTCCGCTTCTCGAAGAAATTCTTGCCGTAGAAACGGTCCAGCCGATCCAGCACGGAGCCGAGTATGGGCGCGCCATATTCACCAGGCACGTCGCGCTTCACCTCCAGGTTCCTGTCGTTGCTCATCACTGCAAAGCAAAGAAGTGAAGTGTGAGCTGCTAAGAACACACTACTTGAGTACAAGGTGTGCTTGTGTTGGGCACAAGCTCGGGGCTTTTAAGCAAGGTGGTCTCTATAGTGTTTCCCGCAGCATGAAGAACGTGGGTGCAAGCGACAGATATCATCCACAGGGACCAAGCTTACAGAATCAGAACGCTGTAATGTAAGACAGCTGCTTCTTCAGCTGTTTGGTGGGATGTCAACTAGATACGGACACTTCATCCGGTCTCATCGATAGGCCTTGGATTCCTTCTCGCCAGATTACTTTCAATACCCAGTTCGCGTCAAGGACCTGAAACTTATCTTCAGCATGGTGCTTTGTTGTTCTTCTGCCTCCTCAAGCATGAAGAGCCTGGGTCCAAACGAGAGAGGTCATCCACAGGGACCAAGCTTAAAAGCCAAAATGAAAACAGATAACAAGCAATACAATATACAGGATAGGCCCCTCTTGTATATTTTGGCAGGATGTCACGGTCAGTTTGGTTATTCCTCCAGAAAAAAACGTGCAGAGAATAAGGGTTAAAATATTATAAAGAAATCATTTCAATAGTTTGGACTTTTTTTAGGTTTTTATGCAGCATAAAAAAGTAAGTATGCAATATAAAAAACTAATTGCTACACGTTGCATGTAGCAATGCTTGGTTTGCTTAATAGTAGTGTTATTATTACTTATTAATCCAATTGATCAAATAATGTTTATAATTATAAGCATGTTTGTAATTTATAAACACAAGATTAATCTTATTTCATATCAATAATTAGATGATAGAATAAAAAATAATATACTAGAAAAGGTTTAAGAAAGTTTATAAATTATAAATACAAGATTAATCTAAATGAATAACAACCATTAGATAATAGAATATTCTAGAATATCTAAGTATATTCTAAATATATTCACTACCATCCTTGTTTCTAAATGATTAAAATCCTAGAATATCCAAGCATATTTTAAGTATATCCATTACTATCCCAAATACCACAACATAATTACCCTTCCATAATCACTCCTTTATGCAATAAAGTAATCTAATTTATGAGGAACAAAAGAAATTCCGAAAACGATTTGTCCAACCTAAAAAGTAGTAATTGGTTTGATTAATAAATATGAATAATACTACTATTAAGCAAACCAAACGTAATTATTAGTGTTTATATATATATATAGCCCCATCCAAATCCTAACTAGTAGAATATTTATTTTAATCTATAAACTCCGAGCCGTGAGCCTGGGACTGCTGGTTAGCGGCAGCATCGGGCTCACATTCTCGAGCATCTCCGAGGCACTGTCACTGGCCGGAATGTTCTTTCTCTTCGCGGGCATCACGGTGTTCATCTACTTTCTGGTCAAAGGAAAAAGTTTGGAAGAGATCTCTGGGGATCGCCAGAGTTTGTGGAGCTTTCTTCATCCACGGCGGTGACGGCTCTCAAGTATGAGGACGTGGGAAGTGCTCACCAGCACTTGGAAGTGGATGGGAGCCATGAAGAAAGCGGGGGCATGTTGGGCAGCAACGAATGTATGATGAAGAATCTGACAAGAAGTTGCTAGCTTGCAAAACAGGGTGATTTTAATTCCTATGCCCAGTTAAGTTTACATTAAAACTCGTGCTACACATAAATGAAATATTTTCTTGGATCCAAAGTTTTGACAATTCCCAACTGGAACACGCATCTCGAAAAGTCAAGCGGGATGACTTTGAGAAACATCGATCCTGATCGTGCCAATGCGACTGGCCTCGGTTTCTGCAAGGGGATGGAGCTAGATCCACAAACTTTCAACCGAAGCATTGTAAAGCTCAGGGGGAGAGATTTTGATCCATGGACGAATTTCAGGGTCAAGACAGCTCCAGAAGCAGCAGGATTCGACATGTCCCAGCGAGTCGTCTTTGCGAGTAGGCCACGCAGAAACCTTTGCCTTCTTGGAGTTGACAACTCCTCAAGCAGCAATTCCATTACCTCGTCAGTCGACTTGATGACCACCACGACACGTGTCGACGTTCTGGGATCTTTCATGTCTCACGTCAAGAATTCTTACATTCAAGTGCAGAACTCGGCCCTGGATCTCAATCATCCAGCGTCGGATTTCTGGGTGGCAGCAGTAGCTCTTCCCAGTGCCTTCATAGCCGTCGTGGCAGCACTTTCATCAATCTCCAGCTCAGGCTCTTCACGAACTTGACGAATTTCCGGCGATGGAAGACATTGATGCTTTGTGTGAGCATCTCGGTTGCATCTTACTCTGCTGTGATTGCCGTCACCCCTGCCGAGCTTCAGAGGGAGAGGAAATTTGCGACCTGGGGGCTGCTGGTAGACCAAGTTCCAATCACAAAGCGAGGGGTTGAAGTTCTCGTTGTTGTCAAGGGCGAGTCGGTCTATAAATCCAGCAGCCTCATACTTGCATGGTGCTCCACTGCAATCTTTGTTCCAGTGGTCGCGTGCATCACATTCTTTAGATGCAAGCAAGTTTTTTACAGGAGGCTCCGGAAGAACGAATCCTTGATCTTGAAGCAATAGAAATGAACGCAGTGGAGCAGCGGCGGCCGGAGAGGGAGCATAGAGAGTTGACTTATTTAAAATAAAACATTTTAACAATTTTTATAAGAAAGCTACTAAAAATCCTCGTTCGCAACCTTGGATTATCTAGGTATATCCATTGGTTTTTCTAAAAAAAATTCCTTTGGAAAAACCATTAGTATGGACATAGTCTTTATACACAAAGTTTTCTTCCAGGAACGCTGTCCCTGCACTAGCCATTACAAGGCCTGCAACTATAAGCTTGAGAATGATCTCCTGAGGAATTCCTGTAGCAACAGTAAACACCACTGTGGCCGTTTGTGTTGTGTTCTTACAGATGCTCGATCGATACCAACAGCACACACTGAATTGCTCCTCGTGTAGGAACGCATTCAAAGCTTTCAAGGTCGCTGGGAGAGTTCTCATTGGATCAATGGCAGGCAATCACTTTACCTATTTCTTGGACAGAACAGTCGATGGACAGAACAGTCGATGGTAAAGGCTGGGTTTTGCTAGTTCCAGCGGCCCACTTCGGCTCACCATTGCCATGCTTGCGAAGCCAGTAGAACAAACCTGTCTGCTTGAGTGTGAGTAAACGTAATCTGCGAATACTTGGTGTTGGTGTCTCCTCCTGTTGCCAAAAACTTCTTCTCTTGGCCTTGAAGAACTATCATGTCGCCATCGTAAACTTTGTTGGAAGTCCAGTGTTCGTGCCATCGTGGTACCAAAGAGAGAGTTAAAAAAGATCTAAGAATGACATGGAACTTGCCTGCCCCCAAGCAGGGCCGGGCATGAGAAACGCTGATCTTTTCATGGAACGAGTTAGGAGCAATAGCGATTCGTCTCTGTTTTGTCCGAACAAGGCTCCTGGATTGGCTGACTGCTGGGGTGAAGAGTTTGAAAGCTTGTACACAAGATATGTCAGTCTCCTTCTAATTCTTTTACGAGCTTAATTTTTTGCAGTGTTTATCAGGGGAGAGCTAAATGTTCCTTATCAGCTGGTTTGCAATTTTGGAATCTCAGATGGAAACTGGCAATCCGTACATGGTTTTTAAGGTGTGAAGTCAAGGAGTGTCTTCTTATTTCTAACGCTTTTTTCCGTTTCAGGATACTTGCAACACGAAGAGCAAAATCTGGGGACTATCAAGTGCTCAAATCTCTGCACTGAGATTGTGGAATATACCAGTCCCTCTGAGACAGCCGTGTGTAACCTTGCATCCATTGCGTTACCTCGGTTTGTTCGTGAACAAGGAATAAACTCGGAAACGAAACTGGTCGGTAGCAAAGGATGCAAAAATAGAGTTTTTGATTTCCACAAACTGGCTGAGGTAACACAGCTTTCATGATTCTCTAACATCAACTTGGAGATTGTTTCCAGGTGACAACAGTAGTGACTGAAAACGTAAACAAGATTATTGACATCAACTACTACCAGTTGACACAGCAAAGCGCTCAAATCTTCGACATCGTCCAATTGGGATTGGTGTCCAAGGATTAGCTGACGCATTTATTCTCCTTGGGCTCCCATTCGACTCCGAAGAGGTACAAAGTTTTTTTCTTGTGGCCGTCTTACGTTTTCTCTTTTACAGGCTCGTGATCTGAACAAAGACATTTTTGAGACGATCTATTATCATGCCATGAAAACGTCAAGCATTCTGGCAGAATTATATGGAGTTTATGAAACATATCCTGGAAGTCCAGTCAGTAAGGTTCGGGTAGTGAGTATTATCTTTTTCTGTATCAATGCTTTGTCTTTCCAGGGAGTCTTTCAACCAGATATGTGGAACGTTATACCGTCTGGTCGTTGGGATTGGGCAGCCTTGAAGGAAATGGTCGCCCGCCATGGAGTACGCAATTCCTTGCTTGTTGCTCCAATGCCGACAGCATCAACAAGCCAAATTCTTGGAAACAACGAGTGTTTTGAGTCTTACATCCAATATTTACACTCGACGCGCTCTAAGGTATGCCTTCTTTCTGTATCAGCTGTGATACTTATGTTGCCTGCTACAGTGGTGAATTTGTTGTGGTTAACAAGCATCTGCTGAACGATTTGACCGATTTGGGAATATGGACACCGGATCTGAATATACAGGTTGGTTTGTGCATACATTGACCAAAGCCAAAGCCTGAACATTCATATGGAGCAGCCCACAACGACCAAATTGACTTCACTATTTCTATGCCTGTCCTCAACAAAATTAACTTCAGGGCCTAAAGACTGGTATGTATTATCTACGATCGCAAGCTGCTGCGGACGCTATCAAGTTCACTGTCGATACGGCCTCATTAAAGGTAGGATTCTATTTTCTACGGTTTTAATCTAGCCATCTCTTCTGTACCAGAGTCCTACAAAGTCAACCGACAGAAGAGCTATTAGCGCAGATGGTTTTCTCACTCGAGAATCGTGAGAACTGCTTAGCGTGTGGTAGCTAGGTACTTGGTTAGAATGCGTTTTACGCTACGTGGGCCAGCAGAGCTCTAACTTAGTGCTCAGTAATCTACACTCGAAGGCCTGTATATGATATTTGAGGTAAGAAATCCTGTTCCGAACTTCTGGGATCCGTTTTGGGTGTGAGCGTTGACGCCAGTTACAGGTGACTAGAAAGAAGAACCTGATGCGTTTATCCTTATAAAATTGTCCTCTTTGGGGTTTTAATCGCTCTATTTCACGCAGCGTAGCTCAGCGGTCATCGTCTTCAGCCACTCTGAGTATACTTATGCTTTCAATTTTCGTTTCTCATCTAGTCTCTTAAGCAGTGACGAAGATGCGATTACTGGATCTCTCGGCCGTAAGGTACGCCCAATGACTGATAGTAGGACATAGATCTGTCTGGTTATTTTCTCCGTGGAGAGTTTAGATCTCTCTCACAGAAAGATGGAAGGCTTGAGCAGAAGCGAGCCTTCAGATTCAAGGGGGTTTACACAGGATGGTGAACGATGGCTCGAAGCAGACAAGCACGTATCAGCTGTTGTCGACTAGCACAGAAGCAGGGAAGCATTTTTATCGATACGTTGTTTGGTAAGGGCGCCAAACAGAGAATTGGCATCTCTGAATTCTGTGCTACTTGGATATGGTATGCGTTTTGTTTCTTTACTTAGCATTGAGTTTTAACTTTCTGTCTTCCAGACATTGGTATCATGAGCGGAGCGGTCTTGTTCATAAAGGAGGATCTGAAAATTCATGAGCTACAGGAAGAGGTTCCGGTAGGCTCGCTAAACTTGATATCTTTAGTCGATGGAGTTTTAGCAGGCAGGCTTTCGGACTCCATTGGCCGAAAGAAAACAATGGCAATAGCTTCTGTCATATTCTTTCTCGGAGCAGGGGTGATGGGGCTGACTCCAAATTTTGGTATCTTGCTGGGTGGCCGTATAGTGGCAGGGATAGGAGTAGGATTTGGGCTTATGATAGCACCAGTCTACACTGCAGAGTTGGCACCAGCAGCAAGCAGGGGTGCTTTGGTTTCGTTTCCAGAGACTTTTATCAACTTGGGAATACTGCTGGGATACATTGTCAGTTACTTGCTGTCGGGATGAGACTGATGCTCGGGGCAGGATGCATCCCAGCAATCGTTCTGGCCGTTGGTGTTCTTTTCATGCCAGAATCACCAAGGAGGAAGTGGTCCTTTTCAAGACCTCGAGAAGCAACCAAGAAGTGAAGAGAAAATGAGTTACAATTCACATGTCAATCATGCTCTATATGCAAGCTATTCCTGACTGATTGGTGCGTGATTCCTGGAGACCTGAGCAAACCAACAACTGCTACCTTCCACACGCCCTCCTTGATCTACTTCATGTATTCCAAGTTTTCTCCTGAGGTGGAAAAACTGTGCCTCATCCAATGCCTTCGTAAAGATGTCTGCTATTTGCTGCCTTGTTGGAATATACTCCAGGGTCTGTTTTTTCTTGACTTGGCCACAAACAAAATGATTTTGAATCTCTATATGCTTTGTCCACCCATGAATCACGATGGCAATGCAGCTTCTGCTATCTGTAAAAAGTGGAGTGGCATCCTTTTGCTCATGTCCAAGTTCCTGTAGCATAAGCCTTAGCCATACTATCTCCTATGTTGCTGCTGAAGCTGCTACATACTCTGCTTCTGCACTGGAAAGAGCCACCACACTTTGTTTTTTACTCAGCTAGTTCACTGCTTCCCCAGAAAGTAAACATCATACTCCAGATGTTGATTGCCTAGTATCCACATCGCCTGCCTAATCTGCATCCAAGTATGCAACGAGTTTGAGTGTAGAGCTAAACCAAACTGCTTAGTCCCTTTGAGATATCTCAATACTCATTTGGCTGCCTTCATGTGTTTCTCTGCCGGACAAGAGGTGTAGCGATTGAGTACTCCAACTGCAAAAGCAATGTCAAGCCATGTGCAAGTGGAGATGTATAAAAGGCTGCCAACAAGTTTCTAGTATGGTCTAATATCTTGAAGTACCTCAAGCACAAAAGATTGAGAGTTTTGTACTAAAGACTATTGGTGTTGGAGCCGACTTGCACTCTGTTATGCTGTGTTCATGAAGTATCTTATCAACTTGTGCACACTGTGTGATTGCAATGCAGAAATGATTTGGGCTTTGATGAACTTCCTTACCAAGGATTTTTTGGACCTTCCCAAGATCTGTCATCCTATACCACTACATCAAAATTTGCTTAACCTTTTTAAGGTACTCTTCTCCATTGCTAACAGGTAAACAATCATTGACATACACTGCTATGACCAAAAAATCTATTCCTTCTTGCTTCTAATAAAGGTTTCCATATGAGTTGAGCTTTTGGAAACCTTCTCCTGCAAGAAATTATCCAAGCACTTATACCACTCCTTTGATGCCTATTTTAGCCCATAGATGGATTTTCTTAGCTCCCAAACAAAGTCAAGACTTGTTTCAAAACCTTCTAGTTTATGCATGAAGATCTCCTTGTTCAAAGTGGCATTTAGAAAAGCTATCTTGATGTTTATATGATGAACATGTAAACCAAACTTAGCAGCAAAAGCTTTTAGTGTCCTCAAACTTGTCACCTTCACTGTAGTGCATGTGGTTTTCATTTTTTATCTTATGATGATTTATTATAGGATAACTATGAAGTGGAACTTAAACTTTTCATATATCACATATCACATGCCACATGCCACATATTATATATTGAAGGATAACAAAGTAGAACCAAAATTTCAAAGCCTTAAGCCATTAAATGAAGGAACAAAACCAAAATCCCAAGCATAAAGCTTAGAAGCAAAAGTACTGAAGTATGCATTGACTCTTGAATGTAAAGCTTAAGGAGTGAAGGGACAAGAGTATGGAGTGATTTAGAACAATCCTAGAGCATCTAACATCCTAATATTAAGATTAGCATGCAATATGGAGCTAAATAGAGTTTGGCATTATTTCAACATACCGATGGCTTAACACAAGGATATGGTACTCCACTAGCTAGCATAGTGTGGAACTTCAACTTAGACTTAAGCCAAATATAGAACAAGGACAAATATGAAATAATAGCTAGACTATATCTCAGATTGGTTAGCTATACCCAACCTACCCACCATCCCTACTATACATTTAGAACCCTCCATAGCCCCCCTCCCCCCTTGAGGAATGCACACTTTGGGCTTGTACTTTTAGCTAAGCCCATAGGCCTGACTACTAATCCCACTATCCTTTAGGACTTCCTCACCATATGACTGTATCCTTAGTCACTACACCAGAGGATTGCTCCTTTTCTATTCCACAATCTAGGATTTTAAGACAACATTTCAGAACACTATAGCCCTACATGAGCACCCCACCTTCCACCTTTAGGTGCTCTAGCCATGGGCTAGAGCGAGGTTTCGTTGAGCCACACCAGGTATCTAAGTAGGTAATGCCACCCATGTTTGGACTAGGAACATCGACCATTTGATCTCCCAAAGGAACTAGAGCTAGCTCTTGAACACTTCACCAAGCTACCCCACTGTCGCGCATGTGACTTCGGGTATCGAAAGATACTTGTCGGCTAGTACTTACGGACTCTCTCTCCTTACTGCCACGACGGCAGGAGGTCAGTACTGCTGGTTCCCTTTATGGTCTCCGCCCAAGCTAGTTGAGAAACTGGTCAGCACATGTGCACTTAGATCGGAAGGGCACTAAGGAAGGAAATCCTAAGTTGTCATTAAGTCAAGCATACTTGACACGGTGATGAGAAACTCATGATGTTGACTTGCACTTGCTAGTGTTGGGAACCCCCGCGATATTGAGACTAGTCCCTCAATATTCGCTAGATGATAGCTTACCGTGTTTGCCAAACACCCTCGCTATCACGCCCTTTGTGTTAGTCTCGTTTCGGTCCCAAATGCTATTTATGGAAAGTGTCTAGATTCGCTCATTTGGCATATCTACGGAATGTTGAGGTCGGCCTGAACACAATGGTGTTCGTCCCATGTCCAAATTCGCAATCTAAGGCCATTCCATATTTAGTAAGTTTTGAGCTTGTCCCAGAGACTAACTCCTGGTACTAAGGGTGGCTTGGGGTGAAAGCCCAAAGCGTGTGTCCCTCAAGGGGGGGGGGCTGTGGGGGGTTCCAAATGTATAGTAGGGATAGTGGTTGGAATGCATGTCCGACCACCTGAGACATTAGTTTGGCTCCCGCTGGGCTGTGTCGCTCCTTGTTCTGCGTCCGGCTTGGGTCTAAGCCCAAGCTCCACGCTGCTCTAGTCGGTGGAGTACCCTCCTTCTCGCGTTAGGCCACCGGTATGCCAAAATTGTGCCAGACTCCGTCTGACACCATTTTGCGTGCAGGTGCTGGATACGGGGAGCTGGTGCTCGTGGGATTGTACCGGACCCTCGTTTCGTAGCGCAACGGGCTTGGAGTTCGGCTCCAAATTCAGGTGCGCTACACCCACTGGTAAGTCTGTATTCACTCTAGCCTTGGACTCCTTAATGGATATATCATCACCCAACACGTGGGCATAACCTTCCCTGGGTCACACTGGCCTTTCTTGGCCAAACTAGTTCCACTAAGATCTAACCCCCACACTCTCCCTACTATACTTTTGGAACCCTCTATAGCCCCCCTACCACCCGGGGGACAATTACTTTGGGAAGGCCCAAGGCCCTAGGAAGGGCAAGGACCAATGAGCTGTAAGGTACTTGAATTTCCTTGGGTGGCCCCTCCAACACCATTCGAGTCCATGCTCACTCCCACCCAAGGCCCCTCAACCCTAGTCTTAACCTCAAGTCAATTTGGAAGCACTACTGAAGAGTTCCTTCAAGATTAGTTCCTAAACCTCACTATCCCTACTATATTTTTGGAACCCCCTATAGCCCCCCCCGGGAGACATACACTTTGGGCTTTCACTCCACAACTTGTATTAGTATTCAGACTCAATCTTAGACTTGATCTCGGACCCGACCTTGAACTTAGTCTTAGACTTGGTCTCGAACCTAATTTCAGATATCAGATTCAGTCTCAATCTCGGTCTTAGACTCGGTCTTGGACTTGGTCTTGAACTCGGTCTTAGAGTCAATCTCAAACTCAATTTCGGACTCGGTCTCGAACTTGGTCTCAAAGTCAGTCTTGGACTTGATCTTGAACTTAGTCTCACCAATAACCTCCTTATCATTTTGGTTATGCTTTCGGGGATGCTTTAGCATTGGGGAGTTGGTTCCTTATAGTTCCTTATTTGGTTTAAAAGAGCGTGATAGTTTAAATAACTCTAACTACCTGTTTATAATAATCTATCTAAACCTTACCGACGGGTTTGGTTTCTTTGCTCATGAGGGTTGGGACCTCTAACTTCTCACTATGTCCCTGTAGGGGTATATCACACTTTTGTAAGCTAGTGTAAGCAACCAAAGGGAACAATTCGAGAGATAATCTATGAGGTTCAAATATAAAGGGAAAGGGCCCATGAATAAGAGTGCACCCCCTTTTCCAATCGGTTAAGGGTCTTGGGATATTTGGGGTTAAGCGTCCTTGCTGGGCTGGGTGACCTCCCAGGAACTCAAAGTTCATGAGTTTACATTTGGTATCAAAAGGGTCTCGAGTCCGACTCTATTGGTTGGCTAAAAGAATCACACCACATATTGATTGACATTTGGTTGGTTCAATTTGCTCCCGCTAAGCTTGACCCAAGGGGTAGGGTGTCAAGAGAGTAGGGCTCTTGAGAGAGTTGTGGCTCTTAGCTTCTATTCACGAGGGCATGAACTTGTAGGGAAGTGTGGTGGATTGTAAACAACTAAAGGGAACCACTTGAGAGACGATCTATGGAGTTCAAATATAGAGGAAAAGGGCCCATGAATAAAAGTGCACCCTCTTTTCCAATTAGTTCAGGGTCTTGGGATATTTGAGGTTAAGTGTCCTTGGGTTTAAATCGTATTGGGCTAGGTGACCTCTTGGGAACTCCAAATTCATGAGTTTACAGCTAGATGCCACATAGAGCAGCAAGGGTGGTTAACTTCGTTAGTTATTTCCTTGTCAGTGATAGTTAGAAGGTGTCTAAATTATAGTGCATTTACGTTAAACAGAGAGGTTACTTTAACTCATTTAAGTTAGCA